TATCCATGATGACAGTGGCATTACCCTTGTCGGCTGAGAGGATGACAATGTAATCTCTGATTTAAAGCTGTCGTGACTGCAGGGATTCATATTCTTGGTTCTTTCGGTAAAGTCACATAGAAGGGAAACAATCAAATAATAAAAATACAAAACAATAAAATTATCACGACGTTTCGACAGCAACACAAGCAACCATCATAAGGTGTGAAAACCACAGCAAGAAAATTTGAAAAAGTGGCGTTTTTTAACATTAGCACCACGGAGAGCGATTTGGCAGTTATTCAGATAGACGAGTCCATCTATGTTCGGAAAAAAGGAGGGGGGAGACGAAAATAATGGATGCGGTCTGAAAGCCACCATAAGCGTGAACAATCAATTAAGACCCGAAATGGTTTATCAAATCCTTCCAATGATTGCTAAGCCAGAATCCATCTTCTCGGTTGAAATTGTCTCTGTGTTTGTATATGTGGATAGCCTCATGAACGAATCTCTCATGGTAGCCAGATGGCTTGCAGAGAAGTCAATGTCATGTGAGCCTACTGAATTATAACAGTGATCTGCCACGTCCGAGGTGTTGGTCCTACCGCGTTTTAGGTCTGCTTTGTGTTCACGGATGCAGTCCGAGACATGTCGTTTGGTTTTTCCAATATAACTACTACCACAGAGGCAACTTAGTTTGTAGACGCCAGGGTATTGTATGTCCAGAATCACATCTTTTACAGACGGAACCAGATCACGGATTTTATGTAATGTGTTGAATCAGACCTGGATCTTGTGTTTATTTAAGATTTTGGATATCTTTTTTGTGATCCCCGCAATGTAGGGTAAAGTGATGGTTTTGAATGGCTTCTCAAGAGGGTCTTTCTTCATGGTCGGAGTGATAGCTTTGCGGATTGTGTAGTCGGAGTAACCATTCACCTTAAGAGCTTGGTGTACGTACTTGAGTTCACTGGCTATGTGTTCCTGGTCGGATATGCATTGGGCTCTATGGTGCAGAGTCTTGATGAGGGAATTCTTCTGAGATGGATGGTGGTGGGAATCCGGTTTCAGGTAAGCATCCATATGGGTAGCTTTCCTGTAGACAGAGTGGCTCATTGAACCATCAGATCTCTTTTTTATTAGGACATCCAAAAAAGGTAGCTTGCCATCTTTTTCGACTTCCATGGTAAATCTGATGGCTGGGTGTATGGAATTGATGTGGTCGAGGAATTGGTCTAGGGCAGGCCGGCCATGTGGCCAGATGACAAAAGTGTCATCCACGTACCTCTTCCATAAGGTTGGGCGCAGAGTGGCAGTCTGGATGGCGTCAGTCTCAAATTTCTCCATGAAAATGTTGGCTACAACCGGAGATAGGGGGGAGCCCATTGGGGTGCCCTCAGTTTGTTTGTAGAAAGTTCCATTCCAAGTGAAGTATGTATTTGTTAAGCAGTGTCTCACCAGGGGGGGTACCTCAGTGTTTAATCCTTGATGAACCAAGTCTTCAATGATTCACAAAAGTGAATAAGGAAACTACATCAATAGGCTCAAATGACATTGACTTATCCAAGACAGAGGTTCTCTGCAAGCCATCTGGCTACCATGAGAGATTCGTTCATGAGGCGATCCACATATACAAACACAGAGACAATTTCAATCGAGAAGATGGATTCTGGCTTAGCAATCATTGGAAGGATTTGATAAACCATTTCAGGTCTTAATTGATTGTTCATACTTACGGTGGCTTTCAGACCGCATCCATTATTTTCGTCTCCCCCCTCCTCTTTTCCGAACATAGATGGACTCGTCCTTCTGAATAACTGCCAAATCGCTCTCCGTGGTGATAACGTTAAAAAACGCCACTCTTTTTCAAATTTTATTGCTGTGGCTTTCACACCTGATGATGATTGCTTGTGTTGCAGTCGAAACGTCGTGAGAATTCTATTGTTTTATATTTTTATTATTTTATTGTTTCCCTTCTACAGTGAGGGAAAAAAGAGTATTTGATCCCCAGCTGATTTTGTACGTTTGCCCACTGACAAAGAAATGATCAGTCTATAATTTTAATGGTAGGTTTATTTGAACAGTGAGAGACAGAATAACAACAAAAATCCAGAAAAACGCACGTCAAAAATGTTATAAATTTATTTGCATTTTAATGAGGGAAATAAGTATTTGACCCCCTCTCAATCAGAAAGATTTCTGGCTCCCAGGTGTCTTTTATACAGATAACGAGCTGAGATTAGGAGCACACTCTTAAAGGGAGTGCTCCTAATCTCAGCTTGTTACCTGTATAAAAGACACCTGTCCACAGAAGCAATCAATCAATCAGATTCCAAACTCTCCACCATGGCCAAGACCAAAGAGCTCTCCAAGGATGTCAGGGACAAGATTGTAGACCTACACAAGGCTGGAATGGGCTACAAGACCATTGCCAAGCAGCTTGGTGAGAAGGTGACAACAATTGGTGCGATTATTCGCAAATGGAAGAAACACAAAAGAACTGTCAATCTCCCTCGGCCTGGGGCTCCATGCAAGATCTCACCTCGTGGAGTTGGTGAGGAATCAGCCCAGAACTACACGGGAGGATCTTGTCAATGATCTCAAGGCAGCTGGGACCATAGTCACCAAGAAAACAATTCGTCACACACTACGCCGTGAAGGACTGAAATCCTGCAGCCCCGCAAGGTCCCCCTGCTCAAGAAAGCACATATACATGCCCGTCTGAAGTTTGCCAATGACCAAAATGGAGCTCTTTGGCATCAACTCAACTCGCCGTGTTTGGAGGAGGAATGCTGCCTATGACCCCAAGAACACCATCCCCACCGTCAAATATGGAGGTGGAAACATTATGCTTTGGGGTGTTTTTTCTGCTCAGGGGACAGGACAACTTCACCGCATCAAAGGGACGATGGACGGGGCCATGTACCGTCAAATCTTGGGTGAGAACCTCCTTCCCTCAGCCAAGGCATTGAAAATGGGTCGTGAATGGGTATTCCAGCATGACAATGACCCAAAACACACGGCCAAGGCAACAAAGGAGTAGCTCAAGAAGAAGCACATTAAGGTCCTGGAGTGGCCTAGCCAGTCTCCAGACCTTAATCCCATAGAAAATCTGTGGAGGGAGCTGAAGGTTCGAGTTGCCAAACGTCAGCCTCGAAACCTTAATGACTTGGAGAAGATCTGCAAAGAGGAGTGGGACAAAATCCCTCCTGAGATGTGTGCAAACCTGGTGGCCAACTACAAGAAACGTCTGACCTCTGTGATTGCCAACAAGGGTTTTGCCACCAAGTACTAAGTCATGTTTTGCAGAGGGGTCAAATACTTATTTCCCTCATTAAAATGCAAATCAATTTATAACATTTTTGATATGCGTTTTTCTGGATTATTTTGTTGTTATTCTGTCTCTCACTGTTTAAATAAACCTACCATTAAAATTATAGACTGATAATTTCTTTGTCAGTGGGCAAACGTACAAAATCAGCAGGGGATCAAATACTTTTTTCCCTCACTGTACGTGACTTTACCGAAAGAACCAAGAATATAACGTCATATCTGTTTTTTTTATTTAGAGAGTTCAAAACGCTCGTCCTTCGTGATGTTGCGAATGGGTTTCTTAGCGTTTTTGAGGATAGCAGCGATTTCAGATCTAGCAACGTCTGCCGGGATGTGTCCCAAGCCTTTGAGGGCTAAGTCGACCTGGGCTATTATATCATCCACTGGGATATGTTTAGGGGTGACTGCGATATTCAACCCTTTAGCTAGTACCGATTGTAGGCTGTCGGGAATTGGGATGTTACTCTGATTGATGACAATCTTGTTAACATGTTACTATGATTGATGACAATCTTGTTAACATGTTACTATGATTGATGACAATCTTGTTAACATCGAACTTTTTAACGTGTGGCTCTGGCTTCTTTTTTGACAGGAGGTTGAATTTAGCGATCAAGTTAACTTTACATTTGGTTGACATTGAAGTTGACATTGAAGTAGCAGAAGAGACTGTCATGTTATCTACATGGTCCCAATCAGAAGTGGACATTGTATCTGTTAATTTTAAGTGTGATTGTAAGAGAGTCTTGTCTAAATTATCAAGTGCCACTTTATTCACTATTATTCCAAAAGTATACAACATAGAGAATATGGTCAACACTTTATGAAAGTCTTATTTTAGTTGAATAAAGTATATTTACCAATGAAAATCCCCTGTGAGATAAAAAAAATAGGACCGCAATCTCTGTTTATATTAAAGCGTGACAAATGAACATTGCAATCTTTCCAACTGATTTGCATCACTGTGAATATTGCTTTCTTAAAACTATGCCGCATGCAGTGTAGGTATACGTGTCACGTGTACAGGGGAGGAGAATTACATCTACTCGATATATTTAATTGAGGCTTTAGTTTGTGAACGTTTGGATGACTGTAAGTGGTCTCAACTCCTGATAGTCCGTGGGCCAGAGCTGAACCCGGTAACAACTACGGCAGCAACATCTTAGCCATACATATTATTTGGGTCTTTCGGTAAAGTCACGTAGAATAAAAAAAAACATTTACAATTGTTTTTTGTTCTACGTGTTCTACGTGACTTTTCTGAAAGACTCAAAGAATATGAACTCCTGCAGTCACGAAAGCTTTATGTCAAGACTTAGCCGTACACATGTATTTGTGACCAATTAGAGTGAATCAAATGGGTTGTCACATAATTCACATAATTCACTGTTATTGGCCACAAAGAAATTGGATCCAGTAAAGCTATGCCACCTCATGTGGTACCGACAGGTGATTTATCTGCTCTGAGTTTATGGACTGTTCGCTTCGTCTCTCATCTTTTGTCGCTGGTGCCCATGATCTATTCTGCCCACTTCCATGTTTTCTTTTGCTTTACCAACAGCATTGGTGACCCCTCTTCTTTCCCTTACTTCTTCATTACTTACCCTGCCCCTTAGGCTTGCGCCTGATAACAATAATAATACGAATATATCTTTCCCGACGTAACCAAAGCCGAAAAGGTATTGAAGTCGAATTAGACTTTCACGTTTATTAATGAAATACATTTAATCTTAAACATGTTTGATACAACAATTTACATAATTATAATTTCCACTCATTAACATGCGTGGTTTCATTCTATACGGGTTAAAGTAAAATGTTAAGGCCACAAATCTTGTAGGAAATCCCACGATAGCGAGAACGCAGCATCAGATTATACTCCGTGACGCCGCCCGGCGAGGATATTTCAAATGTAAACTCTAATCAGCTACAAACGAATCGGCTGACTTACCACTCTGATTACCAAACAACAATGCAATGTTGGTTAAATTGGAGGCTGCTGTTATATTTACGTACATTGTTAAAGTCTAGTTATATAATTGTAAATGTTACGATCGATGTGATTGTTGGTGGCACTACACGAACAGTGCTGCTACGAGAGCTGCCCACGTGAGATCCCGGACGGCGCGGACCCAGCTCTGCCCGGCGACGCCAGACGAGGCGGACTCTCGGGATGCTCTGTTGGGCAACACGGGAGGAGCGACGGGCGGTGAGGACGGGGTCGGCGGGGCCTTGCATTCAAAGGGGGGGGTCTCGGTCACGTTCCCTTGGGTGGACGCACAATCCGGGAGGTCTCTCCACTCGACGTCCTTCACCGGTCGTGATGCAGATTTGTGGCAGCTGACCGTGCCTCCTGAATTACTTTTGCCGTTTAGCCACTCGCTGAGAGGGCCGATGTCGTTGCACGAGCAGTCCCACGGATTGTTGTAGGCAATGAGCTCCTGCAGGTGGAGCAGGGCATCGAAGACACCCTGCTCCACGTGTGTCAGGTGGTTGTTCTGCAGGTACAGCTTGGAAAGGTTGCGCAGGTTCTGCAGCGCGGCGGCCGGGATGTAGCGCAGCTTGTTGTTATTGAGCCAAATCACTTGGGTATTGTTGGGGAGGGGACACGGGAACGTAACGAGATCACGGAAGCTGCAGTCGACGTTTCCTGGGCGAATTATGGAGCAGGCGCGTGGGGGTTCTGCAGCGGCAGAGGCGAGGAGGGAGAGCCACGTCGCGAGCCACGCCACGAGCCTGCACGTCGCGAAGGGGTGCAGTCGAATCATGATGACCAGCGACGCAGGCAGCAGCCGCCTCCCTGGATGTATCCTACGAGAAGAGTGGAAGGGAGCGCATGGTGAGGAAATAGGTGGGGATAGTGGGCAGAAGAAAGGAGGGAATTGCATGCCGAGCGACGCGTCAAACGAGAGAGGAAGAATGACCGGAAGTGCCTGATCAGCATAAGAGAAGGGAAAATGACGGAGAGAATAGACATTGATAGTGGGAAATAAAACCAAGAGTTGGGGAGAGAGGAATAATATAGGTTGAAAATAAGATAATTCATCAAGAGCAGACATATGGCGGGGAGCTGTTGTGAGTGTGCATGAAGACAGCGGAGATAGAGAAAGATGAATGATGAAGACAATAGTGAGTAGACAATATGTGGACTGAGATGTTCTTGGATATGGCCTACTCAGCTAATTTGATGAGATTGAGATAGAGAGATAATGGATGAAGAGACAGATCGTGTAAAGATAATGAGATATGGGAGACTGGCTGCTGACATTTGGGCTACGCCCATTTCAAACCTTTATAAACAGTTTGCCTTTAGAAGCTAACTTCTTTTTCCTGATGACGACCGCTTGTGTTGCGATTGAAACGTCGTAGTTTTTTGGTTATTTTCTTTGAACCTATCTAAGTGACTTTACCGAAAGGCCCAAAGAATATGGACTAGGTATGCTAACTCAGCATTCAGGCGGCAGAGGTTTGCACGTCTGCATTACCATCTGAGACATTTCAGTTGTCTATACTTCAATTTCCCCTTTTGAACAATTGTGATGCGTTTTTTTTTCCTCTGCATACAATGTCCAAATCACACAGTAATCACAGACAGCAGTGTACCCACCTCTCGAGTCAATGACAAAACACGCATGCGCTGAATCCTGAACACCGGCCCAGAGTGCATGCAGGCAATGTTCTGAAACGCACGAACTGCTCGACAAGCACTGGCATCGTGCCCGCTGGAACCACCAAGACGCTTTCCCACTTCCGCCTAAGGACTGAGCCGGTTCATCCGGTGACTCGGTTTAGTTTCACCTCCCTGACAAGCAACGGCCCCAAGAAACCAAAGGCAAAGAACTCAGGTCCAGTCCAGGGTTTTGAACGAAGGGCTCCTTTTATCCTCAAAGTCTAGAGAGCGAGGGATTGGCTCTGCTGACATCGGCACATTCAACAGGGATGTACAAGACTCTGAAAAATCAGCTGTGCAGCCCGATTACAGAACAATTTCTCCTTCACAATCATCACCCAGGCAGTCAATTTGAGGGTTATGAGATAAAATCCCAGTTCCGGTCGATACAATTTTTACGGATTATGGAAAAGTTAGCAATGGCCGTTCTACAAAGTTTAAAAAACTGGCCACTGCCGTGGGAACATGAAAATTCCAGCAGAGTGTGCCGTCCTCTCCACACGCCCGCCTCGTGCTGCTGCTACTCACGGTGACTTACTGTGGGACAAGAACGCGCGCTTTGCTATACGAAATTCTGTGCAATGTTTGTATGTACTGTATGTTGAACTGCTTTCGAACCGTACCGAGCCAACCGTGCTAATCGGAGGTGGGGTCGAAGGATAACAAACTAAACACAAAAATCAGTTCTAAAGAAACGAGTTTTCAATCTAGATGTAAAAGTGCATAGCTCCGGAGGTCTTCCGAATACTGGAAGAAAGAGCGTTCCAGACGGCCAAAGAAGCGCATTTGAAAGTGCGCATTGCAGTGACCGTCTTTGTACGATGGCCAGCCAAAAGTCGCTGCTGCGAGGATGACCGGAGTTCGCGTGATGGTTTATGCTTGAGATCACCAATGTATTGTGGTTCATTTATGGCAAGCACTTTGTGTAATAAAGCCGAGCGAAGTGAAAGAGGGCGCGGTGTTGTGCAGGCCAAGGCGGCACGCGGCCCCAGCGCGACCGACCTGGTCCTAGCGCGACGGGGACTCCATAGTTATGTACACAAACAGGGTGACCGCGATATCATTGTTCACGATACGATATCTAAGTTAAATATATAACGATTATCCCGATACCAGTTTCCCATAACTGTGAAATTATGAGAAGAGGGTTTTCCCCTTTTATTTGGCAATAAAACAGGTGTTAAGTTGTTAAAACACCAAACTGAAACCTTTTACAAGGAATGTCTGCATTAACCACATTTGTGTCGATGTTGTGCTTTGTTGTATCTGGTAGTGCGAATAAAGATGAGTTCAGAGTTCTTCAAGTGCAGTTGACGCACGCAGACCTGACACGCGTCTTCTAAGGGCTGCGACTCCACAATCGATCGCGATTGGAGCGCACATGCAGTCAGTAACGCGCGAGACAAGAGAATGGACAGTGGACAATGACATCTTATTTCCACCATGCCGGCAATTAAATTTCATGGGAAACATCTATTTAGGTACAACTTTAATTTCAGGTATTTGTCGTAAAAATCATGTCAGAAAATACAATATGATACAGTATTGAAAAGAATCAAAACAATTATATAAGGCAAACCAAAAAAAGCTGTGTTAATGGAAGGTTCTTTTGCTAAACGTATGATACGATTATCGCAGATATACGGTGCGATATAGCGTAATCTCGCCACATCGCGTGTATCTTGTCTTTAGCGCTTCTCACATCACTGCACAGCCTCGTTGTGGCGCAGTTACTACAGTTACCCTATCAAGCACACGCGCCTGTAAAGAAACTGTTGACTGTTCATGTGTTCCTAATATTACAGAGACATTCCGGGTGGCTCAGCGGTAGAGCGGGCCACTCGCAATCGTAAAGTTGCGAGTTCAAATACCAATTGGGGCTGACAGACCATCATCCCTTCGAAGTGGATAAAATAAGTACCGTACCACTTTGTGGATAAGTTAATATTGGTTGTTTTATGGATAAACTCGCCCTCGTAATCGGAACGTGGAATGTACACCACTGTGACTCTGGGGTCGTAAACAGGATATGAACATGAGGTTTTTGGGTTAGATTGCATAAATGTAAATGTGTTGTTAAACCCGCCGCCACCCGACAGTGATTAAGGTTTTTAACGTCAGCAAAACATGCCAATTAGTTACGAGTTCAGCATGCCGGTGTATTGGAGAGTAACCCCACAACATTTATAATTTAATAAGTATCGCCTCAATGCTGTAAATCAGTTTGACTTCTTGACTTGAAGATCACAGAACGCGGGGGAAGCAACGTGCTGACACGTGACAGCACCATAATACGGACAGACGTCAGCTGTGTATGAGAGAGGCACTACCAACGCGATCTCTCAGCCATACAGGCGTGTTATTTACGTTCTCACACTATCATGGAGCAATAGAGTGCAGTGGTTATCGCACTGCACTGTGCACTTGGCGACCTAAGTTTGATTCCCGGCCACGACTTAGATCAGTGCCGAGCGATATCTGTACTGGCCTAAATATATACACAGAAATAGACGATACCAAACTTAAAGTTACTGGAATGAACATAATAACTACTTATTGACTTACGCTTAATACCGATTACCGGAACACTCATGACAATGTGTATTGTTTTCAGAATGCAACCTTTAACTATTCATGAAAGAGGTTTGACTGCATTACCAACGACTAGCATCCTTCGCATAACGTGCGCGACATTCGTTCCTGAAGAACATCGTGAGTCGAATCGTGCTGTCCGTCGTCTCCACTCTGAACTACTCAGGGGTGCTGCATTATCGAAGAAAAAATTTGGCCCTGCATTCACAAAATACGTATAAATGTAATACTTACTAACAATATTATAAACATTGCAAAAAAACACTTAACGAGGAGTTTAATAACAAATCATAATTAAGATTAAAAAGTTGACTAATTTATAAAGATGACTTAATAAGGAGTCACTTCAGGGCTTCTTGAACGGTTTCATGGACAGCAGGCAGCAGCACGCTCTCCATGACGTGGTGACGCCATCAGAAATATATTTCTTACTTCTAATTTTTAACTGTGAAACGCATAGCGTAAGTGTCAAGTATATCGCGTAACTGCGAATTTCATGGTATAAAACAGTACGCGGATTAAACATGTTCAATACGTACTCTTTGTTTTTTTCGGTAAAGTCACGTAGGTAAAATAAAATAAATGAAAACAACTCAATTAAATCACGACGTTTCGGAGGCAACACAAGCTTTCGTCTTATATTAAAACGATATATGTCATGGTTTATACGTAAGAAGACCACTAGTTTAACTTTTATAAAGACTGGGTCATTGTTTTACCAATTTCATTTTAGCGTATTGAACATTCTAGATTTGAAGCTTTCGTGACTGCAAGGATTCATACTCTTTGGTTTTTCGGTAAAGTCACGTAGGCAAAATGTAATAAATGAAAACTAAATTAAATCACGACGTTGCGGAGGCAACACAAGCTTCGGTCTCCAGGTGAAGAATCCAGTCTTTACTCTATAAAAGTTAAACTAGCGGTTTTCTTACGTATAAACCATGACATATATCGTTTTTATATCGTCTATTTCTGTATATATGTGTATTATTGTACACATTTCATCGTACATTAGTAAGTATACGATCTACGCTGACACGTGTCAATGTAGGTCAGAGTGCAGGTCACAAGGCTTCCTCGCTAAATCCGGCCTCTTGGCGCAGCGAGTATTGCCGTGGATCCCATATTGTGAAAAATCTTCGCAGAAACCAACCCTTTAACAATCATCATCAACATCAGCCATGAGAAGAACACCTCTTGCCCGGGTCGCCGCCGCCTCCCGCGGCCCTGCGATGCGACGATCTACCCAAGGCACCTGCAACACGGAACGACCTCATAGCCCCATCACCGCCACCATCCCTTCTCTAGGCGTGTCCTGCCTCTAAGCACACTCATTTTAAAAGTCAACATTATATATTTAAACTGCGTAGGTTCTACAATCCACACGTTCGGTTTCTCAGTGTAACCTCCTCCATGCTTGCTTGCGCACTTGGAGCGTTTATTCAGTCCTCTTGGGTAGCGTCTGTTTCTAACTCAGCAGGTGCTGCGTGCGGATTCAAAACGTGCGGATTCAAAACGTGCATCTTCGGACATACTGGTGTTGCTTTTCACTCTCAGAAAAAAACTCAACACATTCATCTCCGATGAGCACAGTTGGCTACGTACGGTGCGAAAGAAGTTCAACATGCATACGAAATATATTCGTTTTTTAATGCGCTGTGAAAAAGAATCATTGCCAGAAATGTCGTCTATTATATTTCCCCTTGAGGCCAATGCACAGCGTTGTTGACGAATGTGTCGACTTGTTCTTTTAATCGTGCTCGTGCACCACTGCTCACACATCGCCAAATCGTTTCATCTCTACGACCCGCTTCAGATTCCCAAAGGCAATGTCACCTGCTCTACTCCCCCTCTTCGTCGTTCTGATTGTCCACCTTCAACAGCTGTCCTGGGCCACTCTGCCGAGTTTCCCCGTTGTGCCCGTTCAGCAAACCAGTTGTACACATTGTGTTTTGCTCAAAGTTAAATACTTAAACGTGGCTCAACCCCGAATGGCAGCGAACTCAACAATTAATTCGTCTCCCGTGAGGCGTAATGCCAGGTCTGACAGAAAATGTCACGAACACTTCACCCTTCAAGTTAGCAGTTATATAGACAATAAACACGCGTTTAGTTAAAGAGTTAATTGTCATAATAGGGTTTTCCCCTTTTATCTGGCAACGAAACAGGTGTTAAGATGCAAACTGAAACATTTTACAAGGAATGTCTACATTAACCACAATACTTGTGGTCAAAATCCAAACCAAAAACATACTCTGATAATATATGGTGCATTGTCCTTGAAACTGATTGGTCCACACCAGAGAAAGCCTTCTTTTGAGCCTAGTCTCAAACGGTGTTAGACCAGAGGATGCCAAAAGGCGTACAGCACAAAGAGGTCCCATGATGAGTTAATTGTCGTTAACTCGTGCGCATAGCTTACAGCAGGCGAGTTGCCGCTGCGTGTCGTGTTCTCGGTACGTACTGAGAGCGTGAAGTCGCGGCGGGGTCGCTGCTCCGTCCCTCGAGTTCACAACTCTCCAGTGCGCCCCACCGATCCGCCGTCATGCAATCCACACCCAGCAGCACTCTATAGGTTGTTTGCCAAGCGCTATGTACTCGACCCGCTATGCAGGGATGGCTGTTGTGGTGACTCGGGCCGCTCGCTCACTGTGAGGATGTGGCTCCGTTGTGGGGGGTGGGGGAGAGCTGTGGTTTCGTGCTCTGCTGCCGGGGCGCAATTGGCAGTTGATATCTGAACCTCGTCGAGGCATCCTCTCGGTCGGCGCAGTCTAAAAAACACTATTTGTTGAGCCGAGGTAAAGGCCACCATGGTTGGCTACGCACGGTCCGAAATAAGTTAACATATATCACTCCTCTCATGTGCCATGTTGAAAATTAGACTACCTGATGCTTGCTTAACTACATTTGTCCCAGGAGTCTAAACGATTTGCACAGGGCCCATTTGTACATGTGTGTACGTTTACAGAACAACGTACATGCGTGGCACTGTGAAATTGAACACGAGGAAATACAATATTTAATCCGTAGTTCAACAATGACCAAATGAAGCGTCTCGCTGTTAAGACTTGTACGCAGTGGAATAGCCCTCACCGAGGACTCGATATAACTCTGGGGTATTTGTGAGCTCTTGCCTCACTTGTAATTAAGCAGACAACTCGCTGCCTTCTCATTTCTTTCTCCGCATTATTCATTTTTTACACATCGCATCAGCCAGCCTTCTTCTGGGAGTGCATAATTTAATTAACATTGGTTAAACACACGTAAACCTCAGACTGGTTATGACATTCAGTGTATCGTCAGACAGATTAAAACAATTACGCTGCTTATAAATAAGGTTTATGTTGATGAGTTGTTACATTTTTCAAAGCCGTATTTTTAATAGTTATGGTCTTCTCTAAAATGCCACTCCAACGTGTTACAGAGGTCATTTACAACATGTTCACCATAAAGCTTTTCAAAACAATACAAATACCATATGATCCAGATCAGAGCTTTAATTCTCCTAATCCACGACGAGACTGAATTGCAGTATCCGCAACAGTTCTGCCAACCACTTCCCACAGCCTTATGGAGCGCAGGGTTTGAACCACCTGCTATCAGGTGAATAAAGGTGTCAGTTTTTTGTGCCAGTTAAAAGGGTAAAACCTATTGCTACACCTGCTATCAGTTCGCTATGACTAGAACACATTACAGTGGTACCTCGGTATACGTCGTTAATTCGTTCCAGAAGGAAGAACTTATACCGAAAATGACGCATATACCAAACGAATTTTTCCCATACAAAATAAAGGGAAAGGAAATAATCCGTAAAATGATATTTTATATGGCATTAATGGGGTTGTATAACATAATGTAGACACTACTTATTACTAAAATGCATACGTACATTAAAAAGACGAAAAACACGTGAAAATTCACAGAGTTATAGCAAGGGTTGTGCACTGAACGAGATCTACAGGCAGACTGAGGAGCGGCACTTTGTTTCAGTCGTGAACGGTGTATACGCGGGGACGCGGTGACTCATCCCGACCCATACAAGTTCTAGCAAGCGCGTCGTATCCCAAGACATTTTTTTCTCGTCAATACAACGACGTATATATCAAATTCGACGTATTCCAAAGCGGTCGTATACCGAGGTATGACTGTATTTGGTGATACCGCGTTTTTCGTGGTGCCCAAGCACAAGTAACAAAAAACTCAACACGTTCATCAACAATGCCGCTTTAAAATAAAATAAATATGCTTATCTTTTTTTTTATTAAATACTCTTTTTTATACAGGCAGTGTTGTTAATGAAAGTGTTACATTTTCTGACAAAAAAAGATTTCTCCCAAAACAAAATACTTTTGGACATTGAGATTTAATAACAGTGCACATCCCAGTTTATAATACACACTTCACATTAAATACAATCCACTGTATAATTAACAATGTAAACAAAATATTGTGTGCACACGTACAGCGTTAATTGGGATACTGGCAATGCCACTGTGTAAATGGACGATACACGACCCCCCCCTGCAAACGCTCAGAATCTCTTCACCATGCCCGCAGCCTTCAGGTGCAGACTTCTGATAATTGGCGGTTACCAATTGTGTGTTTAAGTGTTCTGCAGAATCGCGTACACATGTACGTATGTTTTAGCAGGCAAAAAATGGGGTCCCGAATTGCTTGTATGCACTCTGTAAAACAAAAAGTAATCATCATAAAAATACACCTTATTGAATAACAATATATCTCATATATTTGCACATATCTACATCTACATAATAACCAATTCAAATTTAACCATAATCTAATACATGTATTGATCGAGTGAAAATGAACTATAATGTACATGTATGTGTATAAACAAATACATGTATGTATATACACTACAGAGTGGGGGGCAGTGGCACAGCGGTTAGTGCGCTGTGCTCCAACCTCAGCAGCCCAAGTTTGATGCCGCGCTCACAACCAATAACAGTGACGAATATTTGATCTGGTCCTGGGTCCCGCCTAGGTTGACTCAGCCTTAAATTTGTACCTTGTGGTGCGTAAACATCAACATTGGGGAGACAAAGGTGGCCAGATATGGTGCTGTGTGGTTTGTCGGCTTTCAGCACTTGTCCCAAATGTATATCAGGCTATATGGAGGATCTTTGTCTTTGTTATACACTAAATACATATCGGGTGAATGCACTCTAATTTATAATTAAGTATATTATTCCAAACTGGATGGACACTTTTGAAGAAAACTAACATTTTCATCAACTATTAAGAACCCATTCTAAATTTGGAAATTTCAATTTTGTCAAGTGCATTTAACGCCCCTTTACAAAAGGCATTTTCGTCGGCCTATGCTGGGAGATCACCAACTAATCAGGGGAAAGGGCATCTCCCAATTACTCGTGAGCCCACTGAAAGCGCAGCAACCGTTGTTCAGTATTCAAACTTCCTTATTTAGATTTTTTTTTCAATATAGTATTGGAGCATGTGTTTTCTGCAATTGACACAGTGTGAATGTAGATGTGCATTCTTACTGTAAATAGCCCAACTGGTCCTCCTGTATTTTGTTCGGTGTAGCGTCTCACTGCTTCTCTCACATGGACAGGAGTTATAGGTGAGCCAATTTTCTGCATGTAAACATAACACAGAATTTAAAGCAGAACAAAGTTACAATGAAGAATTATACCATGGCTAACATCAGAGGCGAGTGATATCTACACTGGTCATGGGCCTCCCTTTCACCAACCCATGATAACTAGTGTGGGAAAGTATAGTCAAACAACCACATGAGTGGAGAAGCCTTCATCAAGCAACGCATTGAAAAAGGGCTGACATATTGACTTTTTCATTCACACCAATAATAATAAACAAATAATGTCTACATAACAAATGTATTTCTATATATTTTTGCCAAATTTGAAAAAATAATCACATATTACTTAATTGGGACAGCCATTGCCTCCCCGACTGAAAACCTGGCAGCCTCCTGAAAAAGTTGAGTCTCAGCAAGGCCTTCCTGGGTAAACAAGCATATTAATAATAATCATAATTACATACCTGTACACCCATACTGCGTTGCGTTCCAAAACCCTCTTTCATTAGGTGAAGCTCCATGTCTCTTTGCACCAGAAGGGACAATTCCACAATCTAATAACATTAAACGGCAGGACATGATACTGAAATGATAGGTATGAAACAAATCCAGCCACTCGACCGCTCAATGTACATGTGGCTATAGATAAGAGGAATGTAAAAGTAGTGTGGTGCAGTGTGTGCTATGATCATCGACTCCCATGGGGACTACATAAGAGGGTGCTCCTGAATATGCTGCAGGCCTGTAGTTCCTGCACTGTGGAGGTAGTGAGGGTTTGTGGATCAATTTCATGAAACCTCCTCCCTTCCCATGGACATCAAGATCGCCAACTCCTGGCTTGCCAAAGTATGGCGGTACAGCAAGTGGAATGCTTTCCCTCTGTATGCCATCTCTACAGATATTGCATCTTACCACCACTCACACACGTGTTTTCTCCGTATACTATGGTTTACTTCTACGTATAAAACTCAATGGATTTGGTGAAACATCCCAATATAGGGCAGCAGAGCCTGGGAAATTGTTTTCACATGTTCTGGCTGCCTGGTTGTCTGTCATTTCCCATGCCTCTGAATCCTGTCACCATTTCATCGTCACTTAACATATCTCTCAATATAACTAATCGGAAGTAATTAAGCAACATGGTACTTCACTGGTTCAAGAAGGATGACTCGATATTGAGGAAAGTGGTGGGATACTGTCAAGAAAAACTGAAACTATTGAAAGAATCACAAGTTCTAAACAGAGGAAAATTTAAAACTCGGGATTTCGAAAGGGCCTTTGGCATATTTATATTGTGTTATATATGACAAAAGGCAATACAAATTGTGGAAAATTTTTCTGCCAGCTACAAGAACCAAACATTTTTACGTTGATGAAAGTGTTAAAACATCAAATGACTAATGCTATGAGGGAGTAAAACATTTCCAAGGCAGTCTCACGACGAGAGCCAAGCTATATTAAACTCAGTGAAGTACACTCGCGCGCGCGTTCCCGGGGCGCTCCCGGGGTGCGCTCACAGCAGCGGCTGGCAGGGCCATTTGTGAGGGGGCCGAGGGGGCAAAAAAGTTGTCATTTTAAGACGCACATGAGGGGCAACTTTCAAGATCGTTTCAAGAGTTCGATTCCAAGTCACACGGATTGAATGAGGTCGCGGTGTTCCGTCTCACACGCTTAGCAAGATGGCCGCCTGAGGCGCGCGCGCTCCCGGGCCGCGCTCCCAGCAGCGGCTGGCGGGGCCGTTTGTGAGGGGGCCCAGGAAGCCGACGGAGGGAGCCGATGGAGCTGAGAGGACCATTCACTCATCATACAGGTTCACTCATCGTGTGCTGGCTCACTCGCACATCATACACTCACTCACGGTGCTGCTGACTCACACAACATACACTGACTCACTCATCATGCGCTAACACATCGTGCGCTGACTCACACATCATACACTGACTCACTCATCATACACTCACTCCCACTACCACTGACTCACTCACTCACACATCATACACTCACGCTGCTGCTGACTCACACATCATACACTGGGAGTGTCATGCTGCCAGCAATGGCTGCAGGTTTTGTCGTACGTGTTATGTATATTGTTTATTGTTAAATGTAAAATCATAGTTCCTATGATTACTGTTGTTATCATAGGAACTGTGATTTTTATAGCTTTATTTTGGTGATTCGAAAACATGGTTAATCTAAATTGTCTTATGGTTGTTGTTGTTAGCTTGCACCACATTGTGATTTTTGCACACAGCGTTTTAATAATTTTCTTCGTGTGGAATATTTGCTGGTTTATTCCAGGATGTTTCTGTTGCGCGTCGTCGCTTTGGGATGTTCTCTGTTCAAATTTTGTTTGTTGCGGTTGCACCCGACTTAAGAGCCGCATGGCTAACAGGGCTATACCTAATAAATGAAACTTCAAACACGGCTGCCTGTCATGTACACACATGCAGATATTGCATTTTCTCAGAAAGCACACTTATTTAAAATTATACTTTGCTTATTTGAACTAAAACAACACAAGTGTGGACAACGGTGTTGTGCTAAACAAGTTATTTTCCTATGTGTGTGCATCGTTACCATGGCGACTGTCTCTTGAGCCAAGTATGCCAGTGTTTCCATCGCCATGGCATTGGGCTTCACCTCTAGAGAGGACAAATCCAGCCAATCGCGTAGTTTCCCAATCTTCCGGGCTGGAAAAAGAACAAAATAAACGCGTAAATGCACACGATAAACACATTACATATTTTGATTTAAAGCTTTCATGAATGCAGGGATTCATATTCTTGGTTCTTTCGGTAAAGACTTTACCGAAAGAACCAAGAATATACATTACATATTCTCGCGCGTGTAGGAAGAACCGCCAGGTGGTGTGGCTTTAGAGCAAGTGGCCGGCTTTTGGAACGTTGTAAAATTCAAACTACTTGGGAGTTGACTCAGCCCTTCATCCCTCAGGGTTAATCTAATGAGTACTACTTTGTGGGGAAGTAATCCAACAGTGTATATATCATGGATAATGATGGTTCAATCTATATAAATGTTTACATGGGCATAGATTTACCAAAGCTGGCCTGTCGACTGTCAAAAAACTCCGCGTATGTTGCTGAATCCATTTCTCTTGTTTGTCGCTCAGCACGCTGTTTTCGCACACGCACACAAACACACGTGAACACTTTTAAATTTTGATTTAAAGCTTTCGTGACTGCAGTAATTCATATTCTTAGTTCTTTCGTGTGTCGACACACCTGAAGACGACCGTTTGTGTTATGGTCAAAACGTCGTGAGAATTTTTATTGTTTTATATATATTTTATTATTTTATTGTTTCCCTTCAACGTGACTTTACCGAAAGAACTAAGAACACGTGAACACGGCAAGCTGGGCATATTTTAGGTTTACTTGGGAGGCCCACATGGTGAAATGAAACATGAAATAGACTTCTCATGGACAAACCCCTGAGTGTCAGGGACGTCTCTGTCAATGGCAAATTTAACACAGGAAGTGATCACAGGCCGAAGGTGTGATGCAAGTTACACTTAAATATTCGCAAATAGAGGGCAAAACTAATTACAGGCAAATACACTTGATGTCACCACCATTCTTGGGTGCGTGCCAGCCAGGAATCCAGGCATGAATCCATCCAGAATGTTTTTTGATAGAGTATGAAACGAAATAATCCAATATTTATACAATACCCACAATCCGTCGTACCAGTTAACAATGAGTTTAAGTTGCTGTTTTTGTGTTGGATGGGCCCACAGTTTTCATGGAGGGCTCTTTGCTATAACATTTAGTAGCCCAGCAGTATTTTGTTTAACAAGCCCGACTCTGCTATTGATGAGGCCATGGATATTAAAACTTGTCCAGAGCTTGCCTGCTTAAATAAATGACACAACACAACAGACAACAATCCCCCGTATAGCCTTAACAGACTGTTGAGGTAATTGCTGTTAGCGAGCACCTATGAAGGCTGGAACTGCACATGAGGGGGTAGGTGGCTAGCACCACGCCCGGCCGCCTTTGTCTCCCGAGTGTAAATGTTTACACATGGCACCAGTTACTCATTTGAGGCTGAGTCAACCTCGGGGAGGCCCATGACTGGTTCAGATAATCGTCACTGGTGTCGGCCTCGAGCGGGAATTTAACCCGGATTGCCGGGTTCGTAGCGCAGAGTGCTAACCACTACACTACCGCTCCCCACAAATAAATGATACTGGAATGAATTGGTTTAAAATGTCAACAAGGCAAGAGATGCATAATATATTTAATTGTACATGTAGACAGACTTCCTGTTAAGTATTCATGACTGTGTGTGTGTGATATGCATCACATACAGCAATACGTTCTTGCTTTACACCCTCGGTCTCAGAGTCCATTTGCCATGATGACATCATTCCTGTCTGGTCCAGCACACTTAGTACATCTGCACATACTTTCTGCCGCTTGCTTGCCTCTACAAAACAAGCCATACATTTGTCAATAATTCAAAGCGTCAAATCTTCTTAAACGTATTAAATAACACAAAATTCAATAAATTTAGAACCACACAAGCAGGCTGGATGGGAAACATATAAACATTTCCCCAACTGTGATAACTTCGCAGGATCATCCTGAAACAGGTGGGTCCTGCGTAAACATGTGTCAATAAATAATGAGGCTGAAATGGAGAATGCTGGTCACATTTATAAAAAAGTTGTGGGACATGGCATACAGACAGAATACCATTGTCTGCCGTGGTATCACGAAGGGTTCTATGAAACCCAACACTGTCGGCCTTATAATGCATCCTGATTTTTACACAGGTTGTTATAATATATATTTTGCATTTATGGTCATTTCATGAAGAAAAAAACATTTTAAAATACTTACGATTTGGCCCATATATAGAAATTTCTAACAGTAGACATCACAGATTTATCTATCCAGCTGTAAAAGTGAGCTGCCGTGGTATAATGGCTCGCACACGTGCAGAGGTCGCCCTCTCCTGGCTTGTTAGGGTATTGCAGTAAAAAAGTGCTCCGGTTTCCCCCCACAAATACCCACGATTGGAGTTGGACAGACATCCAAATATAGGACAATAGAGCTTGGGCATTTGTTGGGGCCAGTTCTGGCTGCCCTCCTGTATGTCTTTCCCAAGCTTGAGTTTGGTCTCTATAAATCTGCAGGAATTGATGTAATAGTATAATTTGTACTTCCATGCTTTATTCATATTTATTTTTAGTGACTTGCTTAACTTTCCTCTACCTTATTTTTGTATCCTTCATTGTATTTTGTTCATATAACTTGCTGACGCACCTTTCCGATTAGCACGGTTGGCTATATACAGTGTGAAAGAAGTTCAACATACATACATGTAAAATAGAGCGTCATAAATCATAAGATTCATACAGTATAAATATAATGATTTTGTCTGCGGTTCATCATGCCTTCATGTGAAATGTGTGCGTGTTATAAATACTACAGCGTTTTGAGAAGCAACTTGCATGAATAGTGCGACGTAAAACATATATAGAACAAAAAATATATCCAAATATATTCAGTCAACTTGGCCCAGCAGAATTTTTTTTGTTTTGGTTTCTGCACGTGTAATTGTAGATGCTGCTTATTGCATCTGTACATATTGGAAGGATATGCAATTAAATAGTGAGCATGCACCACACACGCACTCCACACCTGGCCCAAAGAAATCCTCATCTTCCTGCACACTTTGTAGCACTCGTGACTTGAGGTCCCGAAAGTTGAGGTGAGCTATCAGACGACGCATCTTTCCCTGACCAACATGGCCAACACACACAATGTTACCAATAATGAATGACCGATGCTTTGTTGGTCAGCACATTTCCAACACAAGCAATACACATGTAAAATAAAGCATTCCTTGTGCAAACATATACACACATTGCTATGACCGATATGTATTCACTCTGCATGTAACAATGATGGTGGGGGTGCATTGTTAAAATCCGAATATTTATGCATGCTTAAATTCACAACACTGCTTAAACAGCACATTGAGCAGGTGTAACAACTATTCAATAAAAGCTGAAATTTCTGAGAGGAAGTTGAAAGTCAAGCTGAGTTTGCTTAGGAAATTATTTATAACCCTAACATATTCATTTGCAAGAGTGATCAGGGTCACCAAAATGACCAAAGCTGGCACATGATAAACAAGTACAGCAACGAACCAAACAGAGATCAGCGCAAACACAAGGAACTATACATTTCAGCAAAAACAACCGCATTACAGATTAAATAAAAAAAATAGTACAAAGCATTAAAATCGATTTTTAGTCACGGAAATTGCCTCAAATTACTTTTTAAAAAATTCACTGTAAAATTAAGTGACAAAAACATCAACTTGGATTTCGAGTTAAATTTGCACGAGTATATTATTTGGGTATTTCGGTAAAGTCACATAGATAGGTTTTAAGAAAATAACAAAAAACTACGACGTTTCGATCGGAACACAAGCGGTCGTCATCAGGAAAAGGAAGTTAGGTTCTAAAGCCAAACTGTTTATAAAGGTTTGAAATGGGCGTAGCCCAAATGTCAGAAGCTAATGTTAATGTCAGTGGTGGGCAGCAACCATGACGGTGGTAGGTTTTCCACCAATCAAAGGGCTGCCAGGTGAAAATTAGCATGTTAATGTAAGATAACCTGATTTCCAAGTTCAACCTTTCCAAGAAGAAGCCAGATCCACACGTTAAAAAGTTAGACGTTGACAAGATTATAATAATAGGGTTTTCCCTTTTTTTCTGGCAACAAAACTGAAACTTTTTACAAGGATTAATGTCTGCATTAACCACAATATCTGCAGTCAAAATGCAAACAAAAAACATACTATGATAATATATGCATTTTCTTGGTTCTTTCGGTAAAGTCACGTAGAATGAGAACAAAAAAATAAAATAAGACAACTAAATTCTCACGACGTTTCGGCCACAACACAAGTGGCCTTATTCAGGTGAAGAGACAGGTCTGTACGGAAGACAGAGCTCGTTTCGAGCTCTGTACAGACCTGTCTCTTCACCTGAAGAAGGCCACTTGTGTTGTGGCCGAAACGTCGTGAGAATTTTGTTGTCTTATTTTATTTTATTATTTTATTCTCATTCTACGTGACTTTACCGAAAGAACCAAAGAAGATGATTGGTCCACACCAAGGGACGGCTTTCTTTAGGCTTTCTTTAGAAAGCTGTCCCTTGGTGTGGACCAATCAGTTTCAAGGACAATGCATATATTATCATAATGTTTTTGTTTGCATTTTGACTGCAAATATTGTGGTTAATGCAGACATGAATCCTTGTAAAAAGGTTTCAGTTTTGTTGCCAAAAAAAGGGGAAAAACCCTATTATTATATTTTTGTACTGGCCAAGGTGGTCTAATGATGTTGACAAGATTGTTATCAGAGTAACAGTCTAATTTCTAACAGCCTAAAATCGGTTCTAGCTGAAGGGTTGAATTTCGCAGTCACCCCTTAAAGGGTTGGGACACATTACTGCAGATGTGGCAAGATTGGAAATCGCTGCAATTCTTAAAAACGCTAAGACACCTATTACTCTTTGGTTCTTTCGGTAAAATCACGTAGCTTCAAATCAAGATTAAGACACCTATTAGCAACATCAGTAAGGATGAGCGCTTTGAGGTTTCTCCATTAAAAAAAGAGAGATACATCGTCATCCTCTCAGCCGACAAGGGCAATGCCACAGTCATCATGGACAAAACCACATACGATAACAAAATTCAGGACCTACTTAATGATGGCAGCTATACAAAAATTTAAAGAGATCCCACCGACAGCCTCGTTACAAAAACCAACAATATCATCACCGATTCGACATCTTTAATCGAACCAGCCAAGCGGTTTTCCTTAAAACCCTCTGCTGCTAAGCCACCCCGATTGTATGGCTTACCAAAAATCCAAAGAAGCTACACCCCTTCATCCTATCATCTCCACTATCGACTCACCCACTTACAAACTGGCCCGTTTTCTGAGACCTTACAACCATTCACTGGTAAGACCATCTCAGCTGTACTTAACTCAGCTCACTTGGTATCATTAATTAAGGACATCTCACTATCTCCAGGTGATTTGCTTGTTAGTTTCGGTGTAGCCTCTTTGTTTACCAAAGTTCCTGTGCCTGCCACCATTGCAATCATTGAAGATTTGGTCCAACAAGGACTGAATGCTGATGTACCGGCCCTGGTGAGACACTGCCTCACCAACACTTACTTCACCTGGAATGGAACATTCTACAAACAGGTTGAAGGTACCCCAATTGGCTCTCCCTTATCTCCAGTTTTAGCCAATGTTTTCATGGAAAAATTTGAGACAGATGCCATCCAGGCATCCAATCTACGTCCGTCCTTGTGGAAGAGGTAAGTAGATGACACGTTCGTCATCTGGCCACATGGCTGACCAGCTCTGAACCAATTCCTCAACCACATCAATTCCATACACCCAGCATTCTAATTCACCATGGAGGTGGAAAAGGATAGCAAGCTACCATTCTTGGATGTTTTAATCGAAAAGAGACCAGATGGCTCAATGGGACAGTCTACAGGAAAGCCACCCATACGGATGCATATCTAAAACTTGACTCCCATCACTATCTATCCCAGAAGAAATCCCTCATCAAAACTCTACACCATAGAGCTCGATGTATTTCCAACCATCATTACCTAGCCAGTGAACTAGAACACATAAACCAAACTCTCAAGATGAATGGATATTCAGACTATACAATCTGTAAAGCTATCACCCCAACCGTTATGAAAGAACACTTTTGTTGAGTTTTTGTTACTTGTGTTTGTTGCACCGCTGCCAACGCAGTATCACCTAATAACCTATAACGACATGCACATTAAGTTTGGCAAAAATCATCTAACCAAGCTAAGCAAGAGGGAGCACATCACATTTTCACACCACCACCGAATCCCAGATATGAAAGATCCATGAGAAAAGGTGAGGAAGACAGTCAAGTACGCGAGATGCTGGAGAATCTGATGCTGTGAACAAAGGTGGGGCGTGCAGTCTCTTGCTCTCAGAAGAACAGGAAGATGACACCAACCCTGAGTTAAGGATAATGGATCCTTGTGAAATAATTGTGCAGGTATAAAGTGGACTAGATATAAATCATTTTTGTGACCCCTGCTATGTATGGCAAGGTGATGGTTTTAATGGGGTCCTCAGATGGTTATTTCCCAACAGTTTACCTTTAGTTTAACACGAAGGCTTTCACGACCAATATCATCCATAATAAAGGTTTTTGGGTTAGATCGCATAAATATATAAATGTGTCGTTAAAACCCGCCACCACCAATTGGCATGTTCTGTTTACATGACAACTCTTACTAGTTGGCTGTATCGGGTGGTGACGGGTTTTAACGACACATTTATATATTTAAGTGATCTAACCCAAAAACCTCTATTATGGAGTTTGCCTTTAGAAGCTCACCCCCTTTTCCTGATGACTACCGCTTGTGTTGCGATCAAATCGTCGTAGTTATTTTGTTATTTTCTTTGAACCTATCTACGTGACTTTACCGAAAGATCGAAAGAATATGAATTCCTGTAGTCACGAAAACTAAGTTGAGATTTTTGCATGAGTATATAAACAGAAAAGGGTATATATGAAATACAATTCTAAGTAAAGTCATGATACAGAATCGATAGCTTAGCATCACATTCTGATTCCAAAGAGTAACCTCAGGCAAATTTGAAGCAAGACAAAATGAGTCTGAAGACGGTCGCTTGCGTTGTGATCGAAACGTCATGATCTATTATTTTGTCTTCCTACATGACTTTACCGAAAGAACCAAAGAGTAAAGACAAATTGAGGTTAGAAGAAGTTTGCAGAGAACCGTCTCAAGTCAATTGAAGTATATAAAATCGCTAAAAAAGAAGAGCCTGTATATGCAGTGTATACACAGGTTCGATTACTTACCTTATCCTTTCTCATAAGGAAAAGTATGTCTTCCAGACCAATGTGCTTACCCCCTCGCATCGCACACACATCCTGCAGGTGTGACAGCTGCACGCATTTGCACACACAAGCACAGTCGGTTGTTAACCTTCCGTCATTGATAGTTGCATCAGAGAGAAACTTATATTGGTCATGCACATCTTTCCATAACTCCAATTGTCTAATCCAGTCAATTTTCCATTAAAAATGTAGATGGCATGTCCTGCACATGTAAATGTTTAAGTGCAATTCGCCATCATACTTTGCCTTATTCACATATTTACTAACTTATTAAGGTTAGTCTGGATTTGTAAAATGCCACTCACCATTAGCGTGAGCTGTGTGTGAGTAACATCCTCAATGAGTGCAGCCGACTCATGCAAAGGACGGCGAACATCCCCCATTGCAAACCTGCAAATGAAAGTGCACACTCGTTATATCTATTGACAGACACACACCTGTTGTGCACCAAGGCCGTAATTATAATATATATTGGGGTGGACATATCCCCCTCAATATTCAAATATGCTCAAAATGTCCCCCCCCCCACCCAATATATTGCTATAAAACAATAATTGCTTTGCTATGTAAATAAAAACAATTTGCTAAACCTTGGCCACAATATCTGGACTTGTCTTCATATAAATCAATGCATAGATTTATGTTTATATGATTGTGGTTATGGTTGTACTTTATTAATCCCTAATCTCTGCAATTACGTACAATGAAACAAGAAATGGTAAAAAAGTAAAAACGGAGCAATGTAATACAATATACGATGCGACATTATTGTAAACAAATAAATAAAAAGTCCATCCCTTGTGTTCGTGAATTTTAAACAATTTTAGGCAGGAAATATTTTGTTTTATTGCTTTATTCTCATTCTACGTGACATTACCAAAAGAACCAAGAAGATGAATCCTTGCAGTCACGAAAGCTTTAAATCGAAATTTAACCACCTCTACGGGGAGGGATTCCACACAACCTTAAGATCCTTCAACAAACTCCGAGATAAGAAGGCTAAACTAATCGAGTCTCTCACCTTTCTGAAGAGATGCCGTGACTCTAAGGTAATACCAACCGCATTTACACTAACCTCTACTGCTGCAACTTCTTTTAATGCAAAACGAATTCTTGCTAGAACTAGCCTAGCTCTTATCATCTCAGAAAAAATCAGACTGACACGCACCGAACTAGATAAATTAGACAAGACACTCTACAAATCACACTTAACATTGACAGCAACAATGTCTACATCGGATTGGGAACATGTAGACAATATGACTACCTCTTCGGCTGCCACTATGTCGACCAAATGTAAGGACAATTTGATTTCCAATTTCAATCGCCTTTCCAACAAAAAATCGGATTCACACACCGAAAAGATAGACGTTAACAAAGTCGTAATTAATCGCAGTAACAGTTCCATTTCTGATGGCCTGATATCCGTTTTAGCTAAAGGGCTAAACTTTGCTGTCACACCGAGACACATACCAGTTAATGATATCATTGCCCATGTCGACGTTGCACTCAAGGGCCTGGGTCACATCGCTGCAGACGTAGCAAGATCTGAAATCGCTGCAACCCTCAAAAACGCTAAGATGTCACCTAGCAACATCAACAAAGATGAGTGCTTTGAATTATCTCAATTAAAAAAGAGAGATGACATTGTCATCCTCTCAGCCGACAAGGGCAATGTCACTGTCATCATGGACAAAATAGAATATAACAACAAAATTCAAGGACTACTCAACGATGGTAGCTATACAAAAAATATAAGAAGAGATCCCACCAACAGCCTGGTTACCAAAACGAACAAAATCATCTCTGATTCAACAGCATTAATTGATCAGACCAAACAGTTCTCGTTGAAACCCTCTGCTGCCAGAACACCAAGATTATATGGCCTTCCAAAGATACACAAAGAAGATACAGCCCCTCGTCCCATCGTCTCAACTATCAACTCCCCCACCTACAAACTGGCGCGTTTTCTGGCTGATATACTGCGACCTTTCACTGGAAAAAACACCTCTGCGGTACTAAATTCTACTCACCTGATATCGACAATCAAGGGCATTTCCCTGTCCCCAGACGACCTGCTTGTCAGTTTTTATGTGGTGTCCTTATTCACCAAATTTCCGGTACCTGACACCATCGCAATCATTGAAGACCTGGTTCATCAAGGACTACATGCGGAGGTATCCCCCCTTGTGAGACATTGCTTAACCAACACAAACTTCACCTGGAATGGAACTTTCTACAAACAGACTGATGGCACCCCAATGGGCTCCCCCCTTTCTCCAGTTGTAGCCAACGTGTTCATGGAAACATTTTTGAAACTGACGCCATCCAGACTGCCATTCTACACCCGACCTTATGGAAGAGGTACGTAGATGACACCTTTGTTATCTGGCCACATGGCTTACCTGCTCTAGACCAATTCCTCGACCACATCAACTCCATACACCCAGCCATCAGTTTTACCATGGAGGTCAAAAAAGAAGGCAAGCTACCCTTTTTGGATGTCTTAATTAAAAGGAGACCTGATGGTTCAATGAGACACTCGGTCGACAGGAAAGCGACCCATACAGATGCTTACTTAAAACCGGATTCCCACCACCATCCATCCCAGAAGAACTCCCTCATCAAGACTCTATACCATAGAGCCCAATGCATTTCCGACCAGGATCACATTGCCAGTGAACTCAAACACGTACACCAAGCTCTCAAGGTTAATGGTTACTCCCGACTACACAATCCGCAAAGCCATCACTCCAGTCATGAAGAAGGATCCCCTTGAGGAACCATTCAAAACCATCACCTTACCCTACATTGCAGGGGTCATAAAAAATATCTCCAAAATCCTGAACAAACACAAGATCCAGGTCCGATTCAACACAGTACATAAAATCCGTGATCTGGTTCCATCTGTAAAAGATGCTGTTCCAGACATACAGTACCCGGGCATTTACAAACTAAAGTGCCTTTGTGGTAGCAGCTACATTGGAGAAACCAAATGACATATCTCGGACCGCATCCGCGAACATAAAGCAGACTTGAAACACAGTAGGACGAATTCCTCTGCCGTGGCAGATCACTGTTATAATTCAGTGGGCTCACATAACATTCACTTCTCCAAGACAGAGGTTCTTTGCAAGCCAACCGGCTACCATGAGAGATTCGTTCATGAGGCCATCGACATATACAAGCACAGAGACAATTTCAACCGAGAAGATGGATTGTGGCTTAATAACCATTGGAAAGATGTTTTAAACAATTTCGGTTCTTAATTAATTGTATTTTACGGTGACCTTCAGACCGCAGCCCTTTCGCCGGCATTGCCTCTTAATACCTCTCACACCACGGTTAATGGTATGGTTCATAACATGAGTATAACAATTAATAGTATACTCTTTGGTTCTATTCGGTAAAGTCACGTAGGAAAAAAAAAATAACAAAAAATCACGACGTTTCGGCCACAACACAAGTGGCCTTCATCAGGTGAAGGTACTGGACTGTCCAGAGGACAGCGTTGGAGTGAAGACAGCAAGCCCAGGTCGCGTCCTTTAAGCTGTGTGGGAGGAAACAAAAAACGCCTTGACAAAGGAATTAGCATAAAATGATGTACTGGACCGGCACAGTGAGGGGGGGGGGGAGTTTACATAATGTTGGTGTGAAGGCAAATAAGCTGCTGTGAAAGTTTGGAATCCCACTACTTGAATAAATATACTGTACCATTGAAAATTAGTTTAATGTTTGGTTTGATTTAGAACATCTTTCCAATGATTGCTTAATTTGAAACCATCCTCTCGGTTGAAATTGTGTCTGTGTTTGTAAATCTGAATTGCCTCGTGGACAAATCTCTGATAAAAACCCGTGGGTTTGCAGAGAACCTTGGTATCGGAGAAAACTATATCGTGATCACCCACAGCGTTGTAACAGTGATCAGCTATATCGGGGAGACGAAACGACATGTCTCTGACCGAATTCGCGAGCACAAATCAGATTTGAAACACGGCAGAACGAATTCTTCTGCCGTAGCTGCTCACTGTTACAACGCTGTGGGTGATCACGATATAGTTTTCTCGGATACCAAGGTTCTCTGCAAACCCACGGGTTTTTATCAGAGATTTGTCCACGAAGCAATTCAGATTTACAAACACAGACACAATTTCAACCGAGAGGATGGTTTCAAATTAAGCAATCATTGAAAAGATGTTCTAAATCAAACCAAACATTAAACTTTCAATGGTACAGTATATTTATTCAAGTAGTGGTATTCCAAACTTTCACAGCAGCTTATTTGCCTTCACACCAACATTATGTAAACTCCCCCCCACCGTGCCGGTCCAGTACATCATTTTATGCTAATTCCTTTGTCAAGGCGTTTTTTGCTTCCTCCCACACAGCTTAAAGGACGCGACCTGGGCTTGCTGTCTTCACTCCAACGCTGTCCTCTGGACAGTCCAGTACCTTCACCTGATGAAGGCCACTTGTGTTGTGGCCAAAACGTCGTGATTTTTTGTTATTTTTTTTTACCTACGTGACTTTACCGAATAGAACCAAAGAGTACGGATCCTTGCAGTCACGAAAGCTTCAAATCAGAATAAATAGTATAACATTGTAATGTTTAACATAACTTATAAGGCAATATATAGCATCGTAATTGCATAGTGAATATACACTAGTGTGGTATATTTGGATTCATAGAATAAGACATAGTATAATGTTACAAGTCTAATATTTTATAGTCTAAAGTATAGGGTAGTGTAAAGTAACGCATTGTATAATTCAAAGGTGGAATTTGTCTGTGTTATACCATGTAGTTTAGATTGGAGGGTATAATATTGTATTACACAGTAGTGCTGTTTATAGCATGGTTATAATGCAACTCAGTATACAGCAGCGCACCTTGGCTTGTGGCACTTGTTTACCTTTTGAAATTGTTGTTTGTTTCCTACCAGCACCCCTCCCTCCTCCGCCCCGGAGGTGGGGGCTGGTAACATGCTAATCCAACTCTGCTAATCCAACTCCGCCCATACAGCTTTAAAAAGACTCGGTCCTTGCGTGACAGCGTCCATTCAAGCTCTGTCTCCTGGATAGACCTGTTTCTTCACCTGAAGAAGGCCACTTGTGTTGTGACCGAAACGTCATGAGAATTGTATTGTCTTATTTTGTTTTATTGTTTTATTCTCATTCTACGTGACTTTACCGAAAGAACCAAGAAGAGGAAATTAGTTTTCAAATTTAGAGATTTTTCTGGGTTGGAACCCCCAGACACCCTGGAAAATTTGGTCCCCCCCAATGTTGACTCCATGGCGATGGCCTTTTTGTGCATTTATTCGTGTGAGGTGTGCTGACATATCAGTGCAAAGTGTGCTCACATCATGCTTTGTATGTCGGAGACCAGGGAAGGGCGCGAACTCTGCTGCGCACCCAGTCCAGACACTGGGGCAGGGCTGCCACCGGAGGCCTGCAGATAAACATCGCCACACACAGTGGGCAACAGCTCAAATGGCACGACTGTGTGTTTTTACTGCCACTGAAAGACATGTTTTGATGTTTCAGCACCCTAGCCCTATTCAGGAAATATAATTCATGTACTTATTTACCCAGAAAACTCAGTCTGAAGAATCTTCTTTCTACCAATGCCACTGTCCGCGTTTAGCTATGGCAGGAAACCAGAGAACCCGGAGAAAACTCGTGCAGACCATGGGGAGAGAGAGAGAACATGCAATCTGTGTTTGTGGCCGGGTGTGGTGCTGGTCACCTACCCCTCGTGTGCCGTGCCGGCCTTCATATGTGCTTCGACTCGCTACCAGCACTTGCCCCGACAGTCTGTGTGGTCTGCACGGGGGATCTTTGTCTGTGTGTATATGTGCGGCAAAACAACCCCCTACGTCCTCGCGGATTCCTGGACGGGCAACTCTGTCGTGGACAGTGCTGTGGGGGGAGGGCCAATTCCGATTGGCCTCTCCCCTCATGGTGTCTGTGACCACCACAGTAGCTAAACGGGGGCTCTGGATGGATGCGAGGGGCTGGTAACCCCTCCACCTTCAAAAAATGACCACGAAACCACGATCTAAATATATAACTAATAAGCTTGTGCCGGAGGCCCCGGAGGGACAGGCATCTATGACATCTCCTGGCCAAACCCCAATTGGCGGAGCCAGGAGATTGAATCTCTACCCTCGGGGCTCCTCCAGAAACAACGAAAAGCCACTTTGTGTGGCCACGTGGAATGTTCGAACGCTCACTGTGGAGGAGAGGCTGCCACTCCTCTGTCAGGAGCTGGACCGGTACCGCCTGGATCTCTGTGGCATTCAGGAGATCCGGTGGACCGGTTCTGGCTCCTGCCACCATGAGGGGTGGACAGTCCTCTACTCGGGGCAGCAGACTGCCAAACAACAGGGTGTGGCCCTTCTTTTGAACAAAAGAATGAAGGGGGCGTGGGAGCGTGGCGGTGAGGTGTGGGAAGCTGTAAGCCCCAGGCTACTTTGGGCTCGCCTTCCCATCAACCGGAGGCGAGGAGTGGTGGTCGTGGTTACTTATGCCCCCACCGAAGACGAACATCCGTGAAGAAATGCAGGCAAAGCCGATGAGTCAGATGCCTTCTATTACCTCCTGTCACAGGTGCTGGCTAAAGTGGCCCCTCGGGATAGAGTCATCTTGTTGGGTGACTTCAATGCCCGAGTTGGTCATGATGCTGGCACCTGGTCTGGAGTGATTGGAGGGCATGGGCCAGATCAGCTCAATAACAACGGTAGGAGGCTGCTAGATTTTTGTGCAGCCCATGGGCTTGTAATTACCAACACGCTGTTCCGGCATCGGCGCATCCACACAACATCATGGATGCATGCCGGGTCCAAGCAAGAACATCTGCTGGACTACATAGTGACGGACCAGCAGATGCGAGCCCATGTCCTTGACACCAGGACCTACCGTGGAGCTGATCGGCCCTCTGACCATCGACAGGTCATCTGTAAGATGCGCCTACCATGCTTCCACTCCGGTGGTGGGTGTACACCCAGGACCCCATTCCAACCTAAAGTGGCCTGGTCTCAGCTGATGAAAGTTGCAAGCGAGAATTTCATCATCGCTTGCGGCTGGGGTTGGCATTGTCCCCCACTCCTCCTGATGTCGAGGGTAAATTGGCAAAGTTTAGGACTGTGACTCATGCAGCTGCAATGGCTGCTTTGGGTACGCGGTCCAGACCTCCTCAGAGACCCTGGCTGACAGAGGAGGTGTTCAGGATACTTGAGAAAAAGCGACAGGCCCACTGTCATCGGCTACAGAATCCCACGTCAGAGAATGAGGAGGCTTAACGCAGCCTTCGTTCGGAGGTTTGGAGAGCCGTGAGGCGCTGCAAGGATGGGTGGTGGCCGCGGGTTGCTGAGGAGATGGAGTCTGCCTCAGTGGCCCGTGATCACAAATCTCTATTTAACTTCATCAAAAAAGTAACCTGCAGCACCACACCTATTACCATCATTAGGGGAAAAAATGGTGTTCCAATCTCCGACCCCCAGGAACAGGTTTTCAGATTTGCTGAGCATTTCTGTGAGGTCCTGGGGGAGGGGAAACCCCTCAGCTAGATAAATATCATGGCACAAAGTGGGGATGACCCTGCTGAGGCTGCAGTGCCTCAAATATTGGAAAAAGTCACCCTCTGTGAGTGGCTGGCTGAGGTGCCATCTGTTGAGGAAGTACTGAAGGCGATCCAGAGTCTGAGACCAGGAAAGGCAGAGGGCAGAGATGATCTCCCAAGCAAAATGCTGAGGGTGGCGTTTGTGCACAGACTGCCCTACATGACATCATAACAATCTGGACCACTGGACGGGTTCCGCAGGATTGGAAGGATGCCCTGGTGGTCCCCCTCTTTAAGAAGGGTGACCGCACAGACTGTAACAACTACAGGGGCATCTCACTCCTCAGTGTGCCGGGAAAGGTCCTGGCAAGGATTATTCAACATCGCCTTGCTAGGCACGATGAGGAGAGGCTTGCGGAGCCCCAATGCGGTTTCAGGAAAGGGCGGTCCTGCACAGATGCCATATTTTCTGTCCGTCTGCTACAGCAGAGGTGTAGGGAATTGCAACAAGACCTACATTTCTGCTGTATTGACCTGGTCAAGGCCTATGATACCATCATTAGGCTTGGGCTCTGGGTTGTTCTTCGTGCTTTCGGAGGCCCTGACCCTCTGCTCACGATCATTAAGGACCTTTATTATGGTGAGTGGGCCCAGGTAAAACTACGTGGCCAGGAAGCAGAGCAATTCCCTGTACACCTTGGGGTGTGACAGGGATGTCCTCTGGCTCTCACATTATTTAACATCTATTTTGACCACGTAGTTCGTGAAGCCTTCAATAGCTGTACCGGGGGGAATCTCCATTTGGTACAGATATAATGGGAGGCTGATCGATGCCCGGGTGCGGTCAAGGGATGGCTCCCGATTGCTCAACCACGTTATGTATGCCGATGATTTGGTAATAGCTGCTCTTTCAGAGGAGGAGTTGGAGATGCTGCTGCTGAGACTGGAGCGTGCCACTAAGAGATGGGGCCTTACCATCAGCCCCATCAAAACTAAGCACCTGCCTGGGTATTTTATACCATCAGACACTCCACCCCTACAACTCCCAATCGGTGATGGGGCAGTTGTGGAGAGAGTGGAGAGTTTCCCATACCTGGGCAGTGTGCTTATGACCGGCTCCAGTTTAACAGCAGAGGTCTCACTCTGAATCAGTCGAGCGGCAATATCTTTTCATCGGTTGCGTAACGCTGTGTGGAAGCTACCTGGTCTGTCGCTCCGCACTAAGCTTCAGGTCTTCTCGGCCACGGTCATTCCCTCCCTTCTCTACGCTTGCGAAACGTGGACCCCCCTAATGGAACATCTTTGCCAGTTAGAAACATTTAGACTAGCCTGCCTACGATCCATCCTGGGTTAAACCAGGCTAGATTGTGTGAGCTCACAAATCCTTGAAAGATCTGGGCAAGGTCCCATCGGTGAGCTCCTCCGGCGGGCAAGGCTACGTAGGCTGGGTCATGTAGCCCACATGCCCCGCCACCGCATGCCGAAACAGCTTTTGTTCGGCCGCATCGAGAGGGCTAAACGGGCGCGGCACGGGCTAGAGAAGAGATGGAGTGATGTGGTACAGGAGGACGTGGAGCTGAGTGGACTTGCCGATGACTGGTACCAGCGGTGTCAAGATCGGCCTCTGTGGAGGAGGCTCGTGAAGGATGCTACTGGGCAGTTGGAAGCAGTCGCCCTCCAACAACAACGGAGGGCGGAGGGGCGACACTCACAACAACGAACGGAGCGCCGGGTGGCTAAAACACAGCAGGTTGGCACAGTAGGGGGCACAGGTGGTGCATCAGCCAGTCATCTCAGTCAGTCGACCAGTGGCACCTGGGTCTGCCCCGTGACCTCCTGCCAGCGGGCGTTCGACACTTCAAGTGGCCTCAAGGTGCACATAGCCTGGCACAAGCGTCGTGGTGACGTCACCGCCACTTAGTGGCGAACGGCGGTTGTTGTTGTTACAGTAATGTTACACACACGTTACTCTGATCGCTATGATGTACGCGGCACCAGACACCCTGGACGCCCTTGCAAATGAGATGCTCCGTAGCAACGAGATGTGTTCATCTCAAGGGGGTTTCGAGGCGAACTACTTAAAATATGAAACTTAAAATATAAAACTTAAAATATAAAACAAAAAGTGTGCCTGGAGGGCGCCACCCCGCCTGGAGGGCGTTTGGGCCGGGTGAGGCCCCTGGGCCCGGGCTGCTCCCGGCCTCGTTCACCTTGCGGCCCCGCTCACCTTGCAGTCTGCGGAGCTCTCGGGCTCCTTCACCCGCTCCATCTTCCTCTTGCTCTTGGGCTTCGTCATGGCGCCTCGCTCCCCTCCTCCTCCTCGTCGTCGTCGTCCACTCTTCAGCGCGGCCGCGTCGGGGACGAATCGATTCGCGTGTCAACAGAATCGATTCGCGAGTCAACAGAATCGATTCGCGAGTTCGCTTCTCGCATCACGTCGCGCCCGGAGATGATGATGAGGATGGCGATGATGAGGATCTGCGACTCAGATATACCTCTGGTTTGCGGATTCTGCAGCTTGCGTAGACTCCAGAGTCACCGTACGAGACGCGGACATGGCCGATTGAATCATTAGCGAATCTATATTGGATCGACGCGGCGGAGTCGGAGAATCTCGGCGATGTCACCGCGAGATGAGACTCGGAGCAGAAGACAACCCCAGTAGACGCTCACACTCAGCCTCACAACCTCAGCCTCACACCACACTCAGCCTCACAACCTCACAGCCTCACACCACACTCAGCCTCACAACCTCACAGCCTCACACCACACTCAGCCTCACACCACACACAGCCTCACACCACACAGCCTCACACCACACAGCCTCACACCACACTCAGCCTCACACCACACTCAGCCTCACATCACACTCAGCCTCACAACACAGCCTCACACCGCACACAGCCTCACATCGCACACAGCCTCACACCACACACAGCCTCACACCACACTCAGCCTCACAACCTCAGCCTCACACCACACTCAGCCTCACAACCACACAGCCTCACAACCACACAGCCTCACACCACACTCAGCCTCACATCACACTCAGCCTCACACCACACACAGCCTCACATCGCACACAGCCTCACACCACACTCAGCCTCACACCACAGTCAGCCTCACAGCCTCACACCACACTCAGCCTCACAGCCTCACACCACACTCAGCCTCACACCACACACAGCCTCACACCACACTCAGCCTCACACCACACTCAGCCTCACATCACACTCAGCCTCACAACACAGCCTCACACCGCACACAGCCTCACATCGCACACAGCCTCACACCACACTCAGCCTCACAGCCTCACACCACACTCAGCCTCACACCACACTCAGCCTCACAACCACACAGCCTCACACCACACTCAGCCTCACAACACACAGCCTCACACCACACTCAGCCTCACAACACACAGCCTCACAAATCATCGCGTCACGAGTCCTCTCTGCCCGTGAGCCCTGGCCCTGGACCGCCCTCGCCATGAAGTGGGGCAGCTACAAGTACCGATTCGTCCCTTGGATGTGGCTCAATATTCTCAAAAACCAGAGGCGAGTACCGCAAGCACCACAGCGCCATGGTGCTGAGAAGCGACTGAGCTCCGTAGGGTCGTACATGGCTGTAACACGACTTAACATGTGTAAACACGGCGGTAGGTCGCCTCCTTATCATGACTCCTCACTGTTCCCGTGAACGCGAGCCAAGTCGTCAGCTGCGGGATTCAGGATTTGCACCTTGATATCAAGTTAAAACTACGTTGTACTGTACAGTGTTTATTTTTAACTCATCTTCAACGTCACGGGCTCGTTATGTATCTCTTTATTAGGTGTCTCCATCCAAGTTAATAGAGACCCCATTCCAAGCGATATTTTTTTCCCAAGCTATGCAGTGTGTGCTGTGGTATCATCATCACTGTATCGAGCTCACCAGTCCGCGCCATAGCCTTCTTGGCCACTCGCACCGCTGTCATTGTCCCTTGACCCGGACCTGAGCATTCCCATGGGGCGTCCTCGCAATTAATCTTCATGGCAACTCGGAATGCGCCGCCGCCGCCAGTGTTCGCTCACTCGCGCAGGGAGGAACCTTAGACGAGGAGCCTGTGCCAACATGTGTCCTAGCTCTGCGGGCATCACCATATTAAGGTTTTGTAGCCAATTAAGGAGTGTTAAGATGTGGGAGGAAACCGGAGCACCCGGAGAAACCCCACACGTGAGAGGGGCGAAACACTGTCCTATGAAGACGGAATAGGTATGCAGTTCTCTACATATTGTTGCTGTTTGCCACCTCCTGGCGAGTCAGGGGTGATGGCTCCTTTGACGCCCACGGGAAGGGCGTTTTACAACATCTGTGTGCGATCCACCAACCCCCACTGCTACCTCCACAGTGCTGGATTACAGGCCACGTGCGCAGGCCACGTCCGACCTACAGAGCCACAATTTCTCCCACGTTCTCCATGACATGGGTTTGACTCGATGTGTTCTCACCCGCTTGTGACCAAGCACCTGATCCGGGATCACGTTTGGCTCCTGGTCCCAGCACCGTCGACTGCAGAGGTTCCAATCTCCCTGGACCCGCGGACCCCTGTCAACCCTAGAAGCATTTTCACGGACCTAAATGCACTGATGAGAAAGTGAATTGAAACTCTCAAGTTGCAGGATCTGCAGGAGTTCCACGGACCACGTCTTCCAGTGGCTCACAGAGCACAAGCGGGGAGCAGTCGTGTTTATTATTCACAACGCTTGTTTCAAATTACCATATTAAAAATAAATGCAAATATAATATGCTTCCTTATATTTGTGTGTTTTTACGCATCTCATCATCCACACGGCCTTCTGGGAGTGCATATTTTCAGTATCAGTGTAATACAAGCAATACTTCATTTTCATGGGGAGAGACACATAATGGGGAGGCATATTGTCTGTTCATTGTTACTTTTATTCTCCACAACGACGCTTCATACTTAGTTTATGCTAAAACGGAATCCTAAATGTAACACGTAGGCTTTCGCGGCCGATATCAATCATAATTGATAATTGATGCTGGCTGTAACTACCAGCGAAATGTCGCGACCAGTTGTTGCATGCGTGTGGACCGCTCCAACACACCGGCCGTGCTACTGAAGCAGTAATACACTGGGCACGTTCGATTCACGTGACAACTTTATTTAGTGACTGGGTCGGGTGGAGGAGGATTTACGACACATTTTACTGATACGATCTGACCCAAATTGTAATTGCAAATCGGCAATGAACCCTTGCTCTTTAGTGAACACGTGTGTGTGTGTGAACAGGACACTGCGTGTGGTGTGTGCACGCGGTGACGGGGAGCAGCTGGGCCATGGCGAGGTGGGAGCACAGCTGCTTTTACTTCTCCAAGCCCTGAATAGTACGTGCATAGTTCGTAATATACCTTTACTAGCTTGTTTGCCCGTCCTCGGACGGAAGCTGTAATATTTACGAAAAAATTGTCCAGAGTATAATTGTATATTGTGTAAATTTAATGGCGGTGAATCTTGCACAAAACTGTCATAAAACGCCTCACTTCATGTCACTGTAGCACTGTATATACTTCAATTTGTTCAAATTCACTGCTCTGATACTTTATTCTCGTCTGCTTTCGGTCGCTGGGGTTGAAAGAAATTTGAATTAGATACAATATCTGGGAAATCACCGAGAAATGTCTATTTTACCATAATGTAGAAGCATAAATTAGACTTGCCTTTTGTCTCACGTGCTGAAGAAATAAATAAAGGCACCAAATCCACTTTGTTGCTGCGTATAATTATTTATTAGATTCACTTTCAATAAAGAAACGTCAAACTTAAAGCGAATTTGTGGAAAAAATTCCGCCCCACCTGCGCGAGTGTAAAATTCACCCGCTCATGAATATTAATGAGGGGGGGGCATGTGGAGTGACGTCACGCGCGTTACACAGACATTCTTGGCTCATAGTCGTACTTTACAGTACTCAATTTCATACAATTGTCGTTGTAAACATACCCCTTGTTTGCGCGAGTTGCTGGGGAGTGAGTCTCCGTGGTAAATTATGGTCAAGCAACGCCCATGACCGAATGGTGTGTAGGAGGCTTTCATTAAGCAGTGGATTGCCTAAGGGGTTTACTTTTATTTATTCGCACTATATTGCTATCGGATTGAGATCCAAACGAGGGGAAAAAGATGGAGTGTTTTTGGGACAAATATACCTAAAATGCAGCTCCCCATGCTTCTTGGCTTATGTTTCAGTTTTTGTTCCATTTTATTTGGAATTGTCTTGAATGATGTGAGCACTGTGTGCTGTGAGGAGTGAGTATAGTGGCGTGAGCACTCTGTGTTCTCAGAGGAACCAGGGAGGCCCGTGGAGGTGATGCGCGCCTCTCTGGGCTTTGCTGTCGAGCGCGCAGCGAGCTCCGTTCCCGGGGCAGGTACCGGAGTGTTCGTCACGGGAGGCGCCGTCCCCGCCCACGCCCTCGTCTGCCTCTATCCAGGTGCAAGGGCACTGCCGCAACAACTTTTACATTTTACAAAAAATGTTACGTCTTTTGTCCGAGCCATCTTTCGTTGCTGGAAATTTGTAAATATATTTTTGTTTGCGTGCTGTTTCAAATTTCTTCTGTAATGTGGGTGCATTTGCTCTAATTTCTACATGGTTGTTTTTGTATTGTTTGCTTCATTGTTGTGCGTTGTGTTATTTTGAGTTCTCAGCTGGTTACACGAAAATAAACGTACACTTCCCACGTTCAATAAATACAATTTTTCATCATAATTTAACAACTTCGAATATTCATCATTACACTTCCCATGTTATGTATGTCACTTTACCACTCCTTCAGTGGGATTTCAAAACCATTTCGACCTGTTCACTTCCATATCCGCTAACAGCTTAAGGTAGGATATATATCCCAAATGAATAGCTACAAAAGTCCTTTATAATTATGTTTGTTTCTCAGTATCATTTCATTTGGTTGAAAAATCCCATATTATTGAAGCCAAATGATGTGAAAATTGTCTCTGTGCATGACAGGCACAGTGTATCAGAAGTTTGAGCCGGTGCTGTTCCAGTCGCTGGGGAACCCATTTATGTTCTGCTGCCTGGACGGCGTGCTGGTGGATGGCCGTGACCGCGGCCTCTCCCGGATCGTCTACAGGTGTCCAGCTGGCCTGTGCACCAGCACGTGGCTAATCCTAGGCTGAAGTTCCATGGCGCCAATTCACAGTGCCACACGGGCCTACAAAGTGCCACCCTCTTAGGAGGGGTGGCGCACTTACCACTATTAAATACGGGTCATGTGAAGCTCACCATAACCAACAATGTATTATACTTCATAATAAAGGTTTTTGGGTTAGATCGCGTTATTTATAAATGTGTCGTAACCCTCCACCACCCGACACGGCCAATCAGCAAAAAAAGTGTCACGTTGACAAAAGACAAATAATTCACTACTTTAGCCCACCGGTGTGTTGAAGAGTGAATCCACAACATTTACAGTTTGAGTACGACGTTTCGCTGGTAAATGCATCCAGCATCATCGGGCAATTCGCCAGAATGGTAAAGCCCTCGCTTGCTCCCGGTTTTATATAGAGCAGCAGGGTGACGTCATCATTTAACTCATATCAGGTGCAGTGATTAGAGGCGGAGGGGGGGGTATTGTAATTATATAATCGATTAGTAATCAGTCAATGGTTATGATTAGTAATGAGTTGTAGATTAGTAATTAGTTGTAATGTGTGTTAGTGATTATATGCTATGTTAGTAATCCGTTAATTAGTATGTGTTTCCCCTATAAGGAATTGTAATGTGCATTCATATTCTTAGCTCCCTCGGCAAAGCCACGCCGAAGGGAAACAACAAAACAACAAACATATATTCTATTATTTTATTGCTTCCCCCCAACGCGTCTCTACCGAAAGAGCCAAGAACATGAATTACTGCAGTCACGAAAGCTTTAAATCAAAATGTAATGTGTATTATTTAATAATACGCTTCCAGGCCGCACTAAGCCTGTAGCTGTCAGAGCGATTAAAGTTATTCTTATTCCCCTCAATTTCAATGGATTCTCTAATTAGTCTTTGCCAGTAATAATTAGTTTTACACAACACTGCAACATTGTCAAAATCAATTGAGTTTGTCCTTGTTGACAACAAGGACAAAATAAATTGAGTGTCCTTGTTGTCAACAAGGAAACTCAATTGATTTTGACAATGTTGCAGTGTTGTGTAAAACTAATTATTACTGGCAAAGACTAATTAGAGAATCCATTGAAATTGAGAGGAATAAGAATAACTTTAATCGCTCTGACAGCTACAGGCTTAGTGCGGCCTGGAAGCGTATTATTAAATAATACACATTACATTTTGATTTAAAGCTTTCGTGACTGCAGTAATTCATGTTCTTGGCTCTTTCGGTAGAGTCGCGTTGGGGGGAAGCAATAAAATAATAGAATATATGTTTGTTGTTTTGTTGTTTCCCTTCGGCGTGGCTTTGCCGAGGGAGCTAAGAATATGAATGCACATTACAATTCCTTATAGGGGAAACACATACTAATTAACGGATTACTAACATAGCATATAATCACTAACACACATTACAACTAATTACTAATCTACAACTCATTACTAATCATAACCATTGACTGATTACTAATCGATTATATAATTACAATACCCCCCCCCGCCTCTAATCACTGCACCTGATATGAGTTAAATGATGACGTCACCCTGCTGCTCTATATAAAACCGGGAGCAAGTGAGGGCTTTACCATTCTGGCGAATTGCCCGATGATGCTGGATGTATTTACCAGCGAAACGTCGTACTCAAACTGTAAATGTTGTGGATTCACTCTTCAACACACCGGTGGGCTAAAGTAGTGAATTATTTGTCTTTTGTCAACGTGACACCTTTTTTGCTGATTGGCCGTGTCGGGTGGTGGAGGGTTACGACACATTTATAAATAACGCGATCTAACCCAAAAACCTTTATTATGAATATTGGTCGCGAAAGCCTATGTGTTAAACTGAATATATTATACTCTTTGCTTCTTTCGGCAAAGTCACGTAGATAGAACATAAAGAATAGATCACGACGTTTCGATCGCAACACAAGCAATCGTCTTCAAGTGAAAACATACAGCAGGCGGACTGCTGAGGCAGGAATAAATGTAGCGAGAGAGCTACTGCAGCCAAAGGTTATATAGGTTTGAGGTGGGTACAACTCAAGGGTAAGTGGGCGGGGCTAGAGATGGAATATGCAAGTAAATGTAAGCTAGCAGAGCTAGGCATACCTCAGCTAATTAGAGGGGGGAGGGGGGGGGGGAGGGGCTGCCTTAATGGGCGAGAGGGTGCGGGTGAAATTCAAAGAGGGAACAGGGTGAGAGAAAAAGATCAAACTTAGCAAACTTAGAAATGTAATGCAACTCAGAGTCGGCCAACACAACAGTTGACACTTTACCTGGTTGATCGACATCCTTCCAAAGATTGCTAAATTTGCATCCATCTTCTCGGTTGAATTCATGTCTGAGTTGTGTGGAAATCCTCCCCATAGAGGCGGTTCCATCTTGATTTTAAGATTTCGTAACTCAGGAATTCATACTCTTTGGTTCTTTCGGTAAAGTCACGTAGATAGAAAAATAAATAATAGATTACGACGTTTCGATCGCAACACAAGCAATCGTCTTCAGGCCGACTCTCTGAGTTGCATTACATTTCAAAGTTTGATCTTTTTCCTTTTTTTTCTCTCACCTTGTTCCCTCTGAATTTCACCCCCTCCCCCACTCTGATTATCCGAGGTATGCCTAACTCTGCGATCTTACATTTACTTGCAAATTCCATCTCTAGCCCTGCCCAGTTGTACCCACCTCAAACCTATATAACCTCTGGCTGCAATAGCTCTCTCGCTACATTTCTTCCTGCCTCAGCAGTCCGCCTGCTGTATTTTTTCACCTGAAGATCGCTTGTGTTGCGATCGAAACGTCGTTATCTATTATTTATTTTTCTATCTACATTACTTTACCGAAAGAACCAAAGAGTATGAATTCCTGCAGTCACGAAAGCTTCAAATCAAGATTCAACAATATATTGGTTTCATAAATTATCATTACGTACTATTGTGTCTGTGGCTGTGTGGTGCTGTGTAACGGGAAGTGGAAGTGTAGCGGTTAGCGCATAGGGTTACAAATCTGGCGACCTGAGTTCGATTTCTGCTCACTGCCAACACCAGTGACGAGAAGCTGAACCAATCCTGGACCTCTCCTAGGTCGACGGGCGTGATGCTGGCCATACTAGTCCCTACTATGCTGTGCTGGCCTTCTTTCATAACTGCTCACGAACACAAATTGCCCCAACAGTAATTAAGGTGTTTGGGGGATCATTGTGTAATGCTGGGAGCTCGCTAACAGCACTTCCCCTAACGACATGTGTAGACTATATGGGGAATCTTTGTCCTTGTTTTGTAATGCTGGGTGTGTGTGGTGCTGTGTGTAGGTCTTGTAGTGGGCGGGACAGGCTGGGGCCACACGCCCTGAGTGATGTCACGTGGCTCACTCCCCAGCCTATAAATCCACTCAGCATTGGCCAGTACATCAACAACTGCTCAAATGGTATCTATTACAAGTGCCCCATACAGTTTACCAACCACGTACTTGGTTTTATTTAGAACAGCAATTTAGCAAGTAAACTATACGTCTTGCCTCGACATGATGGGGAGGCAAGGTCACATCCACTCAGACCTCTTGCACTGCCAGTCTTATATGTGCTACCTATCTTATCTGTGCTGTCACATCTCTTCCATTGTCACTGGACTTTCATTTTAAAATCAGATTTGTGGTTGTTTTTGTTCACATCTGGCAGAAAAGGAAGCGAATGTGTGCTACCAGGAGTTTGATGTGCCTCCAGAATTTCCCTTGAACCTGCGCCGGTTCCTACCCAACGTGCCCTACAGCCACCACATAGAAAGGTAAATGCCTAATGACCAGACGTACCAGTGAGTACACGTCGCTAATTGCTAGGCAACACGTGCATGACGATTAACAAGTGTACGGCTGCTGTCTCTTGGACCTTTACACCCGTCTTGCAAGCCATCAAGGCCGGTAACTCGTGTGTCGTTTGCCAACTCTTACATGTCCTTGTCCTGTTGTTTTTTTTTCAGGCCTCTGCGTTGTGTAGTATTGGTGTCCCTACGAAAGATCCTTTCAGGAGAAGAACTTTTCTCCAACTACTACACCCTAGTTCAGTGAATACCCATAGTGATGCTCAGGTCGTTTATCTCACAACGTCCCACATCAGCGTCCTCCCAGGCTTAATGTTGGAAAGTGATAAGGAAAGGGGAGCCACATTTCCTTCAGGGCTGCGGGTACTAAACTACCCTTGAAAAGACGAGTAAATGAATAACTGCGGCTCAACACTTGACTGCACCAGTGGAAGAGAAGACAGTGGGACAAAGATACAAGTGGGATGTAAGATTAGAATCCAGATACTTTCTATTGCTCCACCATTGCTGGCCATGGACCCTTCCTGCATCAACACAAACGCTCTCTTCCGAGCTATAGAGTACGAGTCCTTGAAATATATTTGTTCAAAACAGCCGTAAAATTGTGCATGTTAATTTGTGTTGTCATACTTGTAAGTTCAAGGAACCTCATGAACTACATTATTTTAAACTTATTTTTAAGGGACAATGTACCCCTGAAACATGCATGCCGCCAAGTTTGAAAGTCCATGGCATTTGCAATACAATTTTTACTTTTCTGATGTAAACTTGTGTTTTGAATTACTTCACACGAGCCACTGAAGCCTACACGTTTTGTTAGGAAATGCCACATATCCACCCTGCTGATTTGGGGGATGCAATCCCATACATACATTTAAAATTATTACACATGCGTTTTGCACACGTAGAAGGGTATAATAACAGTTCGTCCATAATTTATCCATTTAAGTCTGCATCCACGAAGATTTGTAAGCCTGGTAACCTTGGGTGGTGACATGGCCCAGTGGTACTGTAAACATACGAGCAGCCTGCTTCAGTTGACATTGAAGATCCTTGGAGGTCATTCACAAGAATAGGCCATTGTGTACGAGCATCATTGTCCATATTCAACAATTTGAAAAATGATACGCAAACTACTTAGTTGGAATTATACATAGCAATCATTGCCTCTGCTGTGAACACTTGTCAGGACCCTCATGGAAGAGTCATGAGACTCGGGCTTTCCTGGGTAAAAAAGCACAATAACCTGCATCGTGTACTTTAAGTGGTCTTGTAAAAGATCAGCATCACTTTTGAATTAACAAGTATGGTAGCCTGCATCTGTTATACAGCAGGTAGGCTAGCCTGTACAATTAGCATCCTGCATCCACTCCCCTACCCATATTGCAGTCATTCCAAGTTGTGCACTTTGTATGTGGCCCAATGGCATGCATGCCATATGATATTTCTTGAATGTTTGGCTGCTAGAACAGCGCCAATTTCCTTTGCTGTCCAGCCCCTCGTGTGTGCAGACCATTGGCCCATGGGGCACATAAGCTAAGAGCTAAGCACAAGCAGTCACAAACAACTTGTACCAAGAGCGGAGCAGTCAACCAGGTAGCAGACAACCAGTAGGGACGCGACATTGCCAGAAAATATAAGGATGAAGCATACATCCAGTAGGTTGTGGAAATGGCAGAAAGTACACACCAAAAGTAAATAATGGAACAGCCAACAAATACGAATATAAGATGTATTGGGTAGAAGTTTGCAAGTGGGTTACACTCCGGAAATTAAATAAAATCTAGTTGTGAAGAGACGTGCAATGTCCGTCCCTCAACATTTCACTTGTATGTTGAACTTCTTTGGCACTGTACATAGCCAACAATAATCGGAGGTGCAGGACTTGCTGTAACCTTTATGCATGGAAAAATTGTAGTTTTTCTTTACCATTCATGTCTTGCAGTTGAAACCAGAAGTAGGCCTCTCACAGGATGTATATTGCACGTTCTACAAACTGATGCATGCACAAGACGGTGGCTGATCCATCAGTCACCGAGTAGATGTCATTACATACAATATACAAAAGCCACTGCCTGCCACTTTAAATGAGATGCACTCAGATGTGCTTCACTGTTCCGAAGCGGTCGGCAAGAAACTGAGAGAAATGCGACACCAAATGTTCATGGTTATGAGCAATGATCGTCTCGTGACTAATTACCCCCATTCTACTTATGGAACGAAGTGTGGGGAAGGGTAAAGGAAGTGGGGGGGCAGATGTGGGGGGTGCAGAGGTGGAGCTGTGCGAGGAGCGAACCCGCCCGGCACATGGCACGGAAGAGTGTACGAGTGTCTTCACACAGGGACAGAGAAGTGTAGGCAAACAAACATATAGACACACACAGAGGCACAGAGGCAGGCAGATAGACAGATACACAGACATAGGTACACACATGGGTAAAGGGATGGATATAAAGACAGAACATATACATAGAAAAAAATAGAGACATCAGGCAACTGAAGGGGAAGGCAGGGTGGTTTGGTTGATTGGCAGGGTGTGTGGTGAGGAGTTGTAGTGTGATTATTGTAGCAGGATGTGGTGAAAGAAATGTGCTGGCTGTGTGGGCTGGATGGGTCAGTTCATGAAGTAAATTCCCATTACAATTCGGCTTTGATTTTGGATCTGGCAAATTAGCTAATTGAGGCATTTGCCAGGATATTCCAAAAGTGATATTCGATGCCTAACAGTGTATCTGCTTCTAGCTACTAGCACAGTAGAAAAGTATTTGCCACAGTACCATTACAAATCAGCCAAAGCCATACATCTCTGCTGCTGCCACATCTGCGTTTGCCATTTGGCCACCCATCTGCAGGGAGTTGGGATCAACTGGGAGGAACTCTCACTTGTTGTGACCGTCTCCTACATCGCTGTTGTGAAGAGAAAATCAAATGTACACATTGAGCCCAGTCACCACAGGCAACTTTAAAAAACCGATCCCATCACTTCATGGCAAACAAATAAACCACTAGACCTTTAAAATAAACAACACATCTTAAATCCTGCACCACTGCCACTTTCTGGTGTTCATTTTATGGTTTTTATTTGTTTTTTAGTTTAAAATCAAATAATTCCACTACATATATATGCGTATATATTTAGCATTCTGATCACAAAATCAAATGCTGGTATACAAAAAAACATTAAGAAAAGCTAGGTCTGTTGGTACATAACCACACAAACACATCTATTTGCTGGAGAACCGAGGACGAGGTGTAGGACGGTCAGGGAGGGCCCCCGGGCCATGGGAAGCAGCCGCGGAGCCCTCAGGGTGGGGGGAGTCTCTCTCACACATTCCCCATGCCAGACACCTCGGACGTTAGCCTGCAACAATAATTCAGAGCAGACACTTCAGGCAACACACTTGACACAATTCATATTCTTGGTTCTTTTAGTCAAGTCACGTAGATAGAAAACAACATTTTTAAATTAAAAGCAAAGAACCCACGACATTTCGATCGCAACACAAGCGGTCTTCTTCAGGTGGAAAGAAAAGGAACCAAGTATATGAATTCCTGCAGTCACGAAAGTTTTAAGTCTAAGCTTGACACAATGTCCAAGCTGGAAAAAGTGATTATACAGTTCTTCAATACATAAGTGCATTGCAGGCTAGGATGGTTTTAGTTTTTTATGTATCCTGTTTAAATTTTGATTTAAGACGGAGGTTCTTTGCAAGCCATCTGGCTACCATGAGAGATTCGTTCATGAGGCTATCCACATATACAAACACAGACAATTTCAACCGAGAAGATGGATTCTGGCTTAGCAATCATTGGAAGGATTTGATAAACCATTTCGGGTCTTAATTGATTGTTCACGCTTACGGTGGCTTTCAGACCGCATCCATTATTTTCGTCTCCCCCCTCCTCTTTTCCGAACATAGATGGACTCGTCCATCTGAATAACTGCCAAATCGCTCTCCGTTGTGCTAACGTAAAAAAACGCCACTTTTTTCAAATTTTCTTGCTGTGGTTTTTCACACCTGATGATGATTGCTTGTGTTGCAGTCGAAACGTCGTGAGTATTTTATTGTTTTATATTTTTATTATTTTATTGTTTCCCTTCTACGTGACTTTACCGGAAGAACCAATAATATGAATCCCTGCAGTCACGAAAGCTTTAAATCAAAATATAAACCCCACGGTTCGCGAGCCAAATCTTTAGCAAGTTTCGTCCATAAACAGACAAATAGACACACACAGACAGACACACAATTCCTTTTATAGGTAAGATTTGTATTATGCCGGACAAGTATAGTATAATTGACAGAAAAATCGGAGTTAAATTTATATAAGAATTTTCAAAATCTGTCATTCTGTTACTGCAGGGTATTACAATGAAGATTAATATTGGATTAAATGTGCACATTTTAATAAAGTGATTTCTTATTTTAAAATCAGTGTACAGTTTTCAGTCATGACAATTACCTGATGTAAATGCGTACATTGCACTGTGGAGTCATTTTACTATTTTGCTCAAATGTACGTGTAATTTGTGAGTTGTTTATGAAAAACGTACATTTGAAATATGAATTATATTTGCTGATATGATTTTAGTAACAAAAACGTCATGTTGGTTCATATTCACATATTTGATGTCCCAATATCTCATCAAAAAATCGAAATTCTTAAGTCAATGCTCATGGGTGATTTTAATCTTAATCTCAGAACTCCCTCTATTGCTTCCATCCTCTTTCCCTTTGTCACTCCTTCCCCTACTCATTCCTCTGGTAATATTATTGGCCTCATTTTCACCTCCGTTGTTAAGCATCCCCCCTCTGATCCCTCCTTCCTTTCCCTCACCAACTCTCTCCACCCCTATCCCCCTGCCCATCCAATCCTCCGTCAATCTCCACGCTACCTCTCAACAAGTTATTTAATCTCCAGCATTTCCTCTCTCCTACCTGCTATATCTGATTTCAGCTTCCTTCATCCTAATTCAGCATCCACTACCCTCTCTAATGCACTTTCTTCCTTCCTCAACTCCCTGGCTCCCCTTCGCGTTCGGTCCCCTTCACGCAAGCCTCAACTCTGCATCAATCCCCTCCTCCAGTCAAAACGAATCCCTCTTGCACAAAGCTGAAAAGGTTTCACAAATCATCTCCCTCAACCAACAACCTGGCTTCATGTCATTCCACTTCTTATCCGACTTGGACAAAGCAAAGATTATTTTCTGGCCCTCATCTCCTCTGTTGCCCCTCATCCCCGTCAACTATTTTCAACTCCCAACAATCTCCTCCACAACTCTCCTCCAGTTATCTCTATCTTGTCCCTTCTGCCAAAGATTTCGCTCACTTTTTGACATCTAAAATGGACACCATCTGTACCTCCTTTCCTTACCCATCTCTCACTGTCCCATTCCATCAATCTTTTTTCACACATGCACCACAATCCGACTCTAAATTTTGATTTAAAGCTTTCGTGACTGCAGTAATTCATACTCTTAGCTCTTTCGGTAAAGTCACGTTGAAGGGAAACAACAAAATAACAAAAATATATATAAAACAATAAAAATTCTCACGTTTCGACCATAACACACCTGATGACGACCGTTTGTGTTATGGTCGAAACGTCGTGAGAATTTTTATTGTTTTATATATATTTTATTGTTTCCCTTCAATGTGACTTTACCGAAAGAGCTAAGAATATGAATCCGACTCTACTTTCTCATCCTTTACTTCAACATCTCCACCCTACTTCTTATCCACTTGGCCTTCTTATCCCCTCCTCCTTCACACCCCATTTCCTCCCTCTGATTCTCCCCTACCTTGTTTGCCTATTCAATTCCTCCCTTCTCTTCTCCCTTTCTTATTTAACGACTTGAACGCCTGATCCACTCATGCCTCAATTAGTACATTCTGTACTACTGAGAGTAGGCTGAAACAGCCTACTCTCAGTACAGAAACATTTGTCAAACTCTGCGCACGCCGGTCTTTCTACATTTTCATTCTACTCGACCTTACTGCAGCCTTAAATGCAGTTTACCATCCTACTCTACCCTTTCCTCTCTCGGAATCTCAGGTATCCCTCTTTGCTGGTTTCAGTCTCATCGCTCAAGCACCTCAGCAGTCTCATCCAGCCACGTCACTTCTCCCCCATCCCCCGTCACTGTCCCCAAGGTTGTGTCCTTGGTCACCTACTTCTTTCTCTCTACATCTCTCCTCTCGAATCCCTCATCTGATTGTTCAACCTTCCTCATAATTTCTTTTGCCGACGACACTCCAATTTTCTTCTTCTCTTACACTGCTGACCTTGCTTCTCACATTTCTAGCTGCCTGATCGCCATCCAATCTTGGATGTCCCAGGACTTTCTCCCTATCAATCCTTCCAAAACCCAAATTATTTTCTTCCCTGCTTCCCATTCCCCTCCTCCCTGCCCTATCTTTCTCCCCTTTCTATTTTACCCTCGTCTCATCTGCCCATAATCTTGGCATCATCTTTGACTCCTCTCTCTCTCTATCCGACCACAAATCTGCCACTACCCATTCCTGTCGCTTTCACCTCTTCAACATTCTTAAAGTCAGCCCCCTCTGATCAACAAAATGTACTCCCTCATCTTCACTCAACTCGATTACTGCAACTCTCTCATGCTCAGTCTTCGCTATGCATTTAAACCATTCCAACAAATGCAAACTGCTGCTGCCCGGATCATCTTCAATTTCCCCTACCACTCCCACACCTCACATCCAGCAACAATGGCTTCCAATCTATTATCAGTGCCTTTCAAATTCCTCACCCTAGTTTACAAATCTCGCTATGATCTCGCCCCAACGTAACTTGCTTCTTCATTTCATTCTACGCTCCTTCTCGCCCTCTGCGTTGACAACCCCACCTGTCTCTGCCTGTTCCCCCTCCTCTTTGAGCCCAATCACCATTCAGTTTTCTCTCACTTCTGGCCTCCTTATAATGTAAAGTTGCCTGACACGCCAAAGAATCTGCTTCACTGTCCATTTTTCATTCTTCCCAAACTCCTCTTCCCCATCACTGACTCCATCCCTCTCCCCAACTTCCTTACCCATTCACACTCGCTCATCAGTAACCACTCGTTCACTTTCATCATTGTTTATTTCACACATCATATCCACCATGTACTACCATCCTTCTCATCAACTCATCTCATCACACTATTCTGCTGTACAAATAGCAAATTCATTGTTCAGCGCATTGATCAAGGCACTATATAAATTAAACTAAGATGTTTTGTTGAAAAGAAAGCAACACATTAATTAATAACATCGTGGTCTTGAATATAAACATATATAATAGGTGATATTTGGGCAATGGCTCTTCATAGCATATAACATTTTATTGATGTTTTGAGATAATAATTTCTTGGTTTTATAATCCAGATAATTGACGCCATGGAAAAACCATGAATGTAAAATCGCAGTGTTTCAAATATCAGTCAGGAGTCACACTTCTTTAACAGTTAAAGGTTTGTCGTTGTCACAACATAATTAAAAAATTTCTCAACCTATTAAAATAAAAAGACCAGTTTTTCACACTTGGTAACTGACAGGGTAGTGTTGGAATCTTGGTTCTGGGGATTACTGTCAGTGTTATATTAAATGTCTCAACATAAATTGAATACTTTAGAAAATTGAAAGAGTTAATAAGATTTGAACATTTAAATCTGAAGCCTGTCTTTAATAACAGGCCACAAGCATGATTGTTCGCATTAAAGCAAGGTCAATTTGAGCCCATGCCAGTCCTGGGGATTATAGTATCCTATACTTATAGTATCTTTTATCAGATTGCTGACATTCTGTTATGCTGGGAAAAACCAAATGAGTCGCAATATTAAACTGTTAAGTGCCACAGCTATTGTTTTCTGGTAGGTTGCCAAGAGGGATATTCTCATGAGGACCTACAAAGGGTTATTCTGACATGAAAGCATAACCCACAGCACTCCCTGTCCAGTACTACACTGCTGTCATGTTTCAGCGGAGTAGCTTATACGTGGTGACAACATTGTTGGACGCCTTGGCAGGAATATGTAATGTTTTATCCAAGTAAGCAAACAGACTGATATCAACTGAGTCTCATCAGCAGTCTGTATCCTGTAAAGTGCTGTTGAATTGCTTTCCACAAACACAATTGTCTATTATTGAAGTGCAACAATAATTTTGAAAACTTGATACGTTGGGTTGGACGATAGTCGAAAGACAATGGTGAAAATTGCATGCTTAATCATCCTAAAACGTTGCATGAATTAATATTATTTACGGGAGTACAAATTATGTTAATCCTAAAGTACTGAATGAACCATTTGTGAATTTACACGGACATGGTACACGAAATTACATATTAATTAAACTTGGCATACTGGTTCATGTTAAGACAACAGACTACTAGAACAGTGGTCTTACATTTTTAATCTTCTTATTACACAACAACCAAAGAAAATGCAGCTGCCAATTCACATATGGGTGGCCATGCAAAAAAGCACAACCGAGTTTAGTCGTGCTTTAAATTATTGAGATGCAGTACAGGTAAGATTATGTACGAGACAGAAGTAATACATGTACGTTTAAGCATATCACCAAAACCCAAAGGAAAGTCATGGTTTAAGGTTACAATGAAACATGCAACACACATGCCACTAACATACAGTATTTTCCTTAAGACGTAAAGCAACTCCAGCACGTAAAAAAATAAAATAATGAATGACCTTTTTTTCAAAAATTATCAGAATATGTATTTATACTGGAAGAATCCGATTAACTATAAAGCTCTTTTCACAGATGTCCAGATTAACTATGGGTGAGAATATGCTCTGCCCATTGCTAACATGTTAGATTTTATAAAGACCTGATTGTTGGTGGTGCTGTAGCTGACACAAGATTGAGCAGATGATACTTTTCAATTGGCCACCACATAGTGCAAGATACTTAAAAATATTAATTATATAATCTAAAACAAACTACCTCATATTAAAGATTGCTTATACATTATTTCCACAATAATGCTGAAATGTTTTTCTTTCCAAATACGTCAAATGTGTTCTGCTTGCCAATAATGCACAATGTAATTTAACGTTAAAATATGCAAGATGAGTGATTGTACAGTTTTTCTTTTCACATTCCTATTATCACAACATTGTAATAGTGGAAGGCAAAGCATCTGCATCATCATTAAATATAAAATTATTTAATTTAAATGTTACAATGAAATGTTCAACTTCCACATTTGTATCCACTGTTGAAAAATTCAAACATCCGGGAATAAGGGAATTTACCTACAGTATCAAAAATACAAAAGGCTCGATTCAAGTCTGCTATGAACACATGTAGTTTACAATGCACATGTCCTTGTCGAGGCATAATTCCTTGTATCAAATAAACAACACTTATATCCCAATTAATGCTCATCACTGTCAAATGAGGGTTGTGCAGTAGTCAATAAGGCTTATAGCGATGTTCACTTTTGACGTCCATGTTAGCAGGGAATTTATTTGTTTGACCTTCCCCACTTGCATTGGAGGCGTGATCGCTTCCTGCCTGGCAGGGCTGAATCGTTGGGAGTGAAAGTGTGTCTACAAGGCCTGCTACAGGCAGCAACAGCGGGGAGCTGGGAGTAGCAGCAGCAGAGAGAGGGGTGGAGGGTGGGATGGAGGTGACAGCAAGGAGAGACTCCACTGGGCTGGGGGTAGGAAGGGTGCTGTTCAGTTGGCTGGACACAGGGGCGATAATGGGAGAAGGAGGAATAGCCAATTCCAGGCTGCAGGAAAAACAACACATGGTATTGAGTAAATAACATGGGACCACCTGTGTCACAGTACTCCATTGTCACAAAGGTAGCAACCACGCAAGTACATTTTGCCTTGCCAAAACGTATCAGCAGAAGCACAAAACACTTGCCAAATGCTGAAATCACAAGACTAATACTGCTGCACTTAGGTTTATATGTATTACAACATAAGAAATATCCAGTATAAGCGGGCAAAATAAAAATAGATTGTCAAGTACATAATTTATTATCAATATAAAATAAACCCTAAATACCGCAAATAATAAGTACAAATTATTAAGTAGTCATATACATCTCAAATTGGAAATATAGACGTATTACATTGTATTTTTCTTGTTGGTAACTGAAAAGAATCCACATCCACTGAGAGATAAAAATAACACATCTAGATGGAGGATTTTCTTATGTACAGACTGCTTGCTTAAATGCCTCAGCAACACTCAACACTATCTTACACCACATCTTATCTTAACAATTTCAATGCCCTGCTGCAGTCTCGTCAAAGGACCCTTCCACCTGGCAGCGGTTCCTGTGTGGGAGCAATGTCTATACGGCACCAGCCTGAAAATTTACATCAGATTGCCAGTAGGGGGTGATGGTGCAATGTGGTATTCACTTTCAAGTAATTTGCCAGTAATTTATCAAATTTGGCCGACTACATATTAAGTTATACACATTAGGTACTAAGAGGCAATACCAGCGATACCGCAGTCCATTCGCTGGCACTGCCTCTTAGTACCTTTCACACGACGGTCAATGGTATGGTTTAAAGCATATTGTATAATAATAAATAGTATAATAGTGTAATGTTTAACATAATTCATAAGGCAATATATAGTATCGTAATTGCATAGTGTAGGAATAGGTTTTACCCTTTTAACTGGCACAAAAACTGACACCTTTATTCAAGGCATCATGTTTGCAATAACCACAACACAAGCAGTCAAAATGCAAACAAAAAAGACAACTCTGATAATAATATGCACTGTCCTTGAATTTGATTGGTCCACACCCGAGACAGCTTTTCTGAGCCTCGTCTCTGCTGTGTTGTGGTTATTGCAAACATGATGCCTTGAATAAAGGTGTCAGTTTTTGTGCCAGTTAAAAGGGTAAAACCTATTCCTATATCTTGTTTCTGGCAAAGGAGGTCTCAATGTAAATGCTCACCCCGAGCCCTCAATACTCTGATGGTGCGCTGTTTTTGAGTTGTACGCCTTTTGGCGTCTTCTGGTCCAACACCAATAGAGACGAGGCTCTAAGAAAAGCTGTCTCGGGTGTGGACCAATCAAATTCAAGGACAGTGCATATTGTTATCAGAGTTGTCTTTTTTGTTTGCATTTTGACTGCTTGTGTTGTGGTTATTGCAAACATGCCTTGAATAAAGGTGTCAGTTTTTGTGCCAGTTAAAAGAGTAAAACCTATTCCTATATCTTGTTTCTGGCAAAGGAGGTCTCATAATTGCATAGTGATTATACAGCAGTGTGGTATACAGTAGGGTTGGTAGAATAATGCATAGTGTAATATTACAAGTCTAATATTTGTATAGTCTAAAGTATAGGGTAGTGTATAGTAACGCATTGTATAATTCAATGGTGGGGTTTGTCTATGGCAGTGTATATTACGGTGTACAGTCGTGTAATGTAGAACAAAGTTTAGTTGGAGGCATATCAATATAATGCATGTTAGAGCTTAGATTGGGCTGTGTATACGATATTATACAATGTAGTTTAGATTGGAAGGTATAATATTGTAATGTATAGTAGTCTAGTTTATAACATAGTTGTAACGCAACACAGGACAGAGCAGCGCATCGTGGCTGTTTCTCTCTCCCCCCTCCTCCGTTCCGAGCATAGATGGACTCGTCTGTCTGAACAAAGCTCGTCGCTTTCCGTGGTGCTAACGTTGAGGAAAAAAGAAACCGCCACTTTTTTCGACAGAGAATTGTAATGTGTAACGACTTATTGTTAGTAGCTCAGCTGATGGAGAGTATATTGAGTTTATTGACAATATTGATGTAGTTTATGTTTTAGTTTTTTTATCAGTTTACTATATGGTATTCATTAGTGTAGTGTATACCCAGTTACTTTATGTTAATAGCTCAGCTTATTGGAGAATATATTGAGTACATTGATTATATTGATCTAGTTTATATTTAGTTCTTTCACATCGGTTTATTGTATGATAGTTGGGTAGTTGCAGTTATTTAGCGTCAATATACTAAATGCCTCTGTGGATATGTAAACTCTGACTTTAACATAGCTACTTCCGTGACCAGTTACATGCTAATCCCTCACACTAACATCATGCTAATCTCCCAGTTACATGCTAATTTCTTACTTTAACATCCTGCTAATCTATCACATTAACACAGCTACTTCAATGCTAAATTCTTCTGTTGATATGTAAACTCCTTTGTCAAGGCGCTTTGCTCCTCCCACCCAGCCTAAAATACGCTGCCAAGCTTAGAAGTGTTCATGGGAGCGCTGTCTTTCCAACAGTTGTTTCTTCACCTGAGGAAGGCTACTTGTGTTGTGGCCGAAACGTCGTGAGAATTTTATTTAATTGTGTTTAATTTTTATTATTTCCCTTCTACGTGACTTTACCGAAAGAACCAAGATGAATCCCTGCAGTCACGAAAGCTTTAAATCGAAAAAGCACATTGTTTTAGTTTAAAACATGCTATCTGAAAACAAATAAATCACGATGGGAGTTCCTTTGTGAATGTATTCATGCTTTGTATTTTTAACATTTTCGACCGGTTCCCGATATTCCTGTAACGTGTAAAACATGTACCGACACTGGCTTTTTGTATCGTGACCTATGTAACTTTGATTGTAACTAAGATCTTGTACTGTACAATATCTGTACCATTGCAGGATGTCCATGAATAAAAGCCGAAGGCCCTTCCTTTTGAAATATATCAAATACAATCGAAAATATAGATTCAACTTTTGTCGATACCTACAGTAGTGTGGCAAAGGCTTGGGAGAAAATGTTCAACAAGCATCCCACCATCAATGATGTAGAAGCGTCAATGAGTGGTCAGATGATTGTATTTAATTCAGCTCAAGCCTCCCATAAATCACGTGACTTAAGTGTGGCCACCCCCATTCTGAACCCCTCCTCTCCCCACCCGCTGTTAGAACAGGCACTGCTCCATCCAACTCACTTCTACTTGATCCTTCCTTCTTGGGCCCCTCTCTTCCTTCCCCCTCATCATCACCCTCTCATCCCTGACATTGGCTTTGTCATTCCTCCTCCCCCTCTGCTCATCTTGAGCCGTGCACCCTTTGTCCATCTTGGGGACTTCCATCCCAGCATTCCCTCCCTATCCCATTACTTTCCCTTATTCCATGACATCCTTGACTCTACTCCCTCTGCCATGGTGTGCCATGGGTAACAACAAGATGTATTCATCACCATCCTAACCTACCCTACTAAAATGGATGCGGTCTCATTAAAATTGGCAATTTCAAAACTGCATTATTTAAATTGACAACTTGCATTAAAATGAGTCAGAACTGGAAGGAATGTAAATATACAAGAGACTATGGAAGGACATGTACCATAGAGAGCTGTGCTAGTTAACAGGCAAATTGAGGTGAGAATAAATGAAGCAGCAGCAGAAAGAATGGTACAAGTGCAGAGCAAATGGAGCATGATTACTACATTAAACATTTTAATGGTAGTAAGGGGGAAGAAAACAACAATCTTGAACTGGTAGATAATCCTAAAATGTACTGCAGCTCGTCCATTGAGAGGTTTGAAAATTAGGGTAAAAAACATTCCTACATGTTTCACTTGAGGAGCTTAACAGCAGCCTTCTGGATGATCTTCAAATATTTAGCTAAGAATGAACAAGAGGGTGTGTGATGGAAGGGGGTAGTCACAGGCCTCCGAGCCACAGGCCTGCTCACCAAATCAAACTAACAGCTATTATTAAGAGGCGTGTGGGAAAATGCAGGAGGGGCCGTGGGTTAGGGTGATGTGAAAAAACAAGCAAGAGCATCAGTGGCACCAAGATGGTGCTCAACGTGCCAAATGGTTGCACTCTGGTAAGTGGTATGACACTCAGTGGTATGACGCATGGCGGTATGCCAATTGGTGGTATGACATTAGGCGGTATGCCGCTCAGTGGTATGACATTCTGTGCTGAAATCCAGCAGCATGAAGTGGGTGACTATAAAAAAAAAATTCCATGGGAACAAGCAGAAGGTACTATTAACAAGGCTCGGGAAAAGACTAAGTATAAATATATGCAGTTATACAAGTTTTCAGAAACCAAGGCCTCAAATAATATTTAAAATAACTACATTACGTTCATTACAAAGACCCACAAAGACTACATCAAGTACCAACAAACACGTTAAAAGGAGATTCCAACAAGAGGACACGATCTCGCCAATCGGTTACAGCAACATCAGAAGATATTTTGTGAAAACTGGATTGTGTAAGTGTGGTGCAAGTATATAGCTTTAGAATTTCTCGTACACAAATGCTCATCAATTGCATTTCATGGTCAGGAATATCGTCTTAAACTTCATAATGCTATTAAGTGCAATTAAAGCTTCCTACACAAGGTTGGCACAGGTTTCCAACATGTCCTACTGTACACAACTTAATTTGCGATTTTACTTTGGTTTGGTGAATGTTTTTATTGCGTCATTCAAATTTATATTTATTTCAGCAGCCTTTCTGTATTGGCCCAAAGTCTGGCTTACCCAAGTCTGGCTTCAGGTTTCACTGCACAATACAATTTACAGTACAATATGAATTTACATAACATCAACTTGGAGGCGCATCTCAAGCTGCTGAATGAGAAGTGGGGCGTCCACATCACAGGGAACCATCAAACAACAGGGGATATCTCTACATGTGATACTAGGAAGATACCTGGATGATTGTGGATTAAATCAGGCAAGTAAAATTTTGTAATTATCGTGAAGAATTTCCATTCAATTACACTCGTTCATATTGGTTGAGAACGCATACTTCAAAGGAATTATTAATCAACTACATTCAATGTTAATTTGTAAAACAATGATACAAACTTACCTTGCATTAATGAGGTACTGAGCCAGACTTATGTTGGCTGAGGATCCCGTAATGATGACCTGCCGATCAGTGGATCCCTCAATGGCATTGGCTATCTTAATCTGAGCACCAGACATTTGACGAATCTCATTGATTTTTGAGCCTTGTTTCCCAATGATGCATCCAATTAACTGCAACAGAAGTAATTCATAATTAAAAACAAGCAATTGAGCCAGTTCATACAGGAAGTCTCCACTCTGAGCAGGGAATCTATTTGACTTACATAGATTTAATGTAAATTACTGCACACTCTTTGGTTCTTTCGGTAAAGTCACGTAGATAGAAAAATAAATAACAGCTCTACCTACGTGACTTTACCGAAAGAACCAAAGAGTATGAATTCCTGCAGTCACGAAAGCTTCAAATCAAGATATAATTACTGCACAATTTTACAAAACATGTAACTAAAAATATAACGGCATTTAAAATGATCACGTCTTCCCACAGGAGGGGGGACATAAATTCTATCTGGCCTAGTGTTAGTGGTCAATCTGGGCCAAAGCTGGGGACCTGGCCAAAGCGTTGGTTGGTCAGGGGCATTGGCAGGGCCAAGGAGTCACAATACTGAGATGGAACAGAGGGAGACAAATATAACTGTATAGATTAAGTAGAATAGATAACATTTGACTTACATCATTTGGAATGCTGATTTCGTGTGTGCTGATTTGGCTATTCGAGTCAACACCTGCATAATAAAAACATGTAAAATGTCAAAATGTTATTCAGCACACTTTATGCGAAACGCTAGAAAGTAACGAGGAGCGCAGCAAAAGCGGGACGTCACGTACCCTCAGCAGTCGGGGAGAAGCCTGTTGGGGTTTGCTGAGTCATAGGAGTGTATGGAGTGTGCTGCATAGCCAACTGGTGCAGCTTTGTCAGCTGTAACAGACACATCCAGTTTAATTATTTTACAGAATAACAGCACATGTATGCATTCTCTAAAACTTACAAAGGTGCAATGGTGTCACTAGACCAGACATTTGCTTTTAAACTTGACTTACATCTGGATTGGGGATAGCATACTGTCCTTGAACTGTGTAGGCCTGTAAAGAAAATACCAAAAACATATACTGAAATCCAAGAAATACTATTTCAGAAACACTTGATTTGGCACAACTTGCTGGCTACAATGTCGACATATTCCAAACATGACACCATGGGCCAAGTAAAAAGTAATTGTCTTCAAGCTCAACTAAACATTGGGAGTATATTATTCTGTGTTGTTCACCCAAAGACAGTAGGACATGTACAGTTGTGGAAAGTCAAGGGGCCAGTATGACATATGGATGGATCAGTAACAGTCATTAATTACATATGTAGAAAACCTGCAAAGTGTGCAAAAAAGCATAGAGTTGCATGCTTGGAATTACATGCAGAAACAGAATGAAACACATGTGGATTAGATAACATTGCAGGTTAATAACATCATCCAAACTATTAAGTAAAAGTAATTTGGCAGAGAGGAGATGTCGCCAGAAATGATTGCCAATGGACACCAATAACATTGGCAGCCAAGGAATCAGAATCTTTATTTACACTGGAGGAATCCAATGAGCTATGAAGGATAGAATGGATCCAAGAGGACATGCTTGAGGAGAAAGAGCGATGAAGATAGTTCATGTAAGGTCAGAAATGTATTATTGCACTGCAGGATCGTGAGAAGTGACGAAAGCTTGGGGAGAGGCCTTCATTCAGCAGTGGATTGACTATGGCTTATGATGTTGTTGACAGGGGTCACTGTCCTAACGCACAACTACTGCGAACTTCCCACAAAATGACGCTCATTTACAAATGGGAATTGAACTTGGCTTCCTCAAACTGTGATTCGACTGACAAATCACAATCCTAACAGGCTGGATAACACAGGTATTCCAAAAGCAATGAAAAATATGTGCCTAAGGAGGAAAGTTTTCAATCAATGAATATTACCTGCTTTGACAGACTAATATGACACATGCATGGAGAGATGCATTCTGCAAATTAGATTGAGAGACATGTCAATTGTCAAAAAAATTCAGTGAGCTTTGGTCGGACACATTGCCAGAAGGTGTGATGGCCGACGGATGAGACTGGTGATAAGTGACAACCAGGGGAGAGATCATATCCGTGATGGCCACCAAAGAGGTGGAGCAATGGGATTAGCTCATGTGCAGAATCGAGATGGATTGTGGGATCACAGGAGCATAGGGAGTGCTGATGATGTGCGGAGGCCTTCATCCAGCAGTGGGTAGAGCAGGGCGAAAATATGCACTTATGCGAGCATTATAAGATTAAGCTATTAAAAATTTGAAGCTTACAAAACTGGATAGTAACAATTAGTAAAGTAAAGAATGTATTGATTGCATACATACATTTCCACATTGTAATGGTCATCTTACGGAATACCTGATGCAACTCAAGGTCTGTGAAGATGGGGACGCAAATGCTGAACGCATTCATGCATCAAGGAAACCTATAATTTCTATCCACCATAACGGATTTAAAATGAGCATCTCACAGTTGTGGTAAACAAAAAAAGCCAGCATGTGGGAATGTGTGTACGCAGAGTGTGCCAACACTGCATAATCCCAGGATTTTAATCCGAGCAATCAACTGCAATTAAATTAGCTTCTCAAATTGTAGTGTCTACACACGCACATGTACTGGTGTTGCCTTGCACTTAAATGAATGTCCACTTACCTGGCCTCCAGCAAAAATAACCGGATTGTTGGTGGTGGATGTTTTGGGGCGGTAAGGGATCGTGGCACCCTTAGGAGGAGACTGAAAGATGAACACAGCACAGTGCATCATCAATAGCTGACCATGACATGAACTTGTGTGAAAAGAGCATAACAGACGAATATTAATACAATACCAAACAAGCAAAACATAATGCAATACAATCAAAAAAGGAAATGATGCGTCCTTAGAAATACTTTCCAAACTGCCTTTGGTTCCACAACATAACACACTAATATGGAAACACAGACAGCATATTCATTTTTTACTGCCCTTATTTAGCATTGAAAAATATATAATTTAAACAAACCTACAGCATTTTCCGAATTACGCAAATAATCATATCAAGCACACACTGTATTAGCGATGTAAAAACGGACCTCCAGCATAACAAGGCAGATCTGCCTCATGCACTGCACGATGGCATCTGGTGTGCCAGAGATGGTCACAGCCCGCTCGGTAGAATTTGGCAGCAAATCTCCAGCCACCTGGACTTGGGCACCTGTTGACTGTAGGGAAATTGCAGACGACCACCATTTAATAAGGAGCACAAAACAACATTTACGACTGAATCATCGGGAATACTAAGCAGAGTTAAGAATAGACAGTGCTTGGATGGGCGGCCAGCATGCACACCAGGCTGCCATAGGCGGTAGCAGGACACCACGGTGGTCAGTAGAGGGCAGTGCAGCAAAATCCGCTTTTGTTCTGTGTGTCTACCCTGTATAATAAATTATGGTCAAATAATCCCCACAACCCGCATGGTGCGATGAGGCCCTCATCAGCAGTGGCTTCAACAGAGGGCTATACAAAAAACACTTGGATATTGTAAAAGCCATTCATATTTTGTTCTTTACTGACCAATTACTAATCATAGAATATATAATGGTATTGTAGAATGATTTTTTTTTACATTTGCAAATAAATTGTTTTCATTAATGCTCTAGAAAAGTGACACAAGCAGCACTGGCATAAAGAGGTGTATGGAGTGACAGTGAAATTACTCGCGCATCAAAGACGCAGTACAAGACTTGTTATACATACATTTTTAAAATGGTTTTAGCCCAATTACTATTATAATAGGCCAGAAATGTGTGTAACGAACGTGACGTCACTCCACATGCCTCACCCGCCCCCCCCCCCCCGTCATTAATAATAAAATTATCATGAACGGGTGGATTTTTACACTGACGCGGAAGAAGGTCGAGCAGAAAGATATTTTTTTTCACAAAGTCGCTTCAAATATGACGTTTCTTTACAGAAAGTCCAAAATAAATCTACACAGCAGTGCTGCATCGGTACGTGAGGACACTGCAAAATAGACCCCCCCCCCATTAATAATCATGAGCGAGTGGATTTTAACACTCCCGCAGGTCGATTGGAAAGACATTTTTTTACGCAAATTAGCTTTAAATTTGACGTTTCTTTGTTGAAATGTAATCAAATCAATATTTCTACGCAGCAACGTGTATTTGGTGTCTTTATTTATTTCTTCAGCACCTGAAACAAAAGGTAAGTCTAATTTTTGCTTCTTTTATTTATGATAAAAGTAGCCTATAGCCCAGGACAGGTGTATTGCAGTCAATCTGAAATATTCAATCGAAAATAATGACCCGCTCCTGATTATTAATGAGGGGGCGGGGCTGGGGTCCACATGAGTGACGTCATCATTCCATAATTATTGATGAGGGAGGGAGCTCCATGTAGAGTGACGTCATCCGCTCATGATTATTAAAGAGGGAGTTTGTCCCGCGCGTAACGTCACTCCACATGACGCACCCCCCGTCATTAAGGTCGAACGGAAATACAAAATGTATTCGCAAATTCGCTTTAAGTTTCACGTTTCTTTATTGAAAGTGAATCTAATATATAATTCTACGCAGCAACAAAGTGGATTTTTTCTTCAGCACTTGAGACAAAAGGTAAGTCTAATTTATGCTTCTACATTTTGGTTAAATAGACATTTCTCGGTGATTTTCCAGATATTGTATTGCAATCCAATTTATTTGAACCCCACCGACCGAAAGCAGAAGAGAATAAAGTATCAGAGCAGTGAATTTGAACAAATTGAAGGTCAGTTATATACAGTGATACAGTGAAATGCAGTGAAGTGTTTTATGATATACTTTCGTGCAAGATTCACTGCCATTCAATTTACACAAGATACAATTATACGCTCATTTTTTTCATAAATATTACAGCTTCCGTCCTAGGACGGGCAAATAGGCTAGTGAATAACATAAACCCATATCTATACAATAAATGCTTAGCTTACTTGGTGGCATCCAGGTAGAGATTTCCATTTCAGATTAGTCAGCATTGTGATTGTAAATAATTATCAATTATCAATACAAGTGAAAATACAATGGAAGACATACGTCCCTTGATATTAGGAATGGATGCATTCCTGCTGTCAAGTTGTCCGTAATGCAGAATGCTGTATATCGAACATTATTTTCCCAATCACTTCCATTATGTAGACGAGTATTGTGAGTAACCAATGAGGGGGTGAACAGAAGGAGGTGCGAGCGGGTTGACAGTCAACCCGCTCGCACTGTCACAGGTTGTGTAAGGGGCTTCGGAGAGCACCTTCGGGAACAAAGGCGGGGCCGAGCTGGGGGCAGGAGCCGCCCAAGGGGTTCTTAAGGGGTACCCCGTGACGAAGGCGGGGTCGTCATGGGGAGCCAGGGTAAGGATCGGCTGAAGAGGGTCTGCCTCCTCGTCGCGGAGCGGTGTTGGCTGAACCCCCACTCCAGGCAGACGTGTGGGAGAGCCAAGGGGATAGCCGAGGGTAGGGTCCCGTAGTATTCAGTAAAGGGTCGGCTGGAAGAGGGTCTCTCTCTCTCTCCTCGTCGCGGAGCGGTGTTGGCTGAACACCCGCTCCGGGCAGACGTGTGAGAGAGCCCAAAGGGTAGCCGAGGGTAGGACCCAAATAGTATTCAGTGTCCGGGGTAAAGGACCGAGATAGAGTGCACCTACACTGGTGTGAGTGTAGGATGTCGAGTGTGAGAGTGTTTTAATAAAGGGCAAAGCCCTTATAGTATTCCCCGGCTCCGCGTGAGTCTACTGCACAACAATTATATCAGTGGAGATGCATTCATAAGGAACATATTTCGGCTCCAAGATGTAATAAAATCATACTTAATAATGCAGACCTTTTTAAAGCATATTTAATGGAAATGTTGTAACAAAATGTTTTTCTCAAAATAAGTCGAAAAATTTAACTTGTACATTACTTACCAGAAACTATGGTGAAATGTGCTTGCTCGAAGACAAATGACAGACGATGCATTGCTCGATTTCCCCCCCCCCCCCTAAAAATGCAGCAAACACAATGATGTTTGTCTTTCCACATTGCGTACACGAGGGAAGCCTCCTCACCTCTCGCAGCTCTTTGATCTTGTTCCCGCTCTTGCCAATGAGAGAGCCGCACTGGCTGGCCGGCACCACGAGGCGCAAGGTGACCGGTGGGCGGTTCATCACTACGCTGTTCGCCATCGTGCTGATCATGTCCTGCTCCATGTACACATACGCACCAAGCGCACGTTGTTATTATTGTTGTAATTATTGCGAGTGCTTACCCAGAAAAGCCTCACCAAGTCTCAACTATTTTCAGGAGGGTCCTGCAAATTTTTTGTAGTCGGAGGCAACAATTGCTATTTTCCCAATAAAGTAATTATCTGGAAAGATTTCAAACGTGGCATATTATACAAATATTTCATGTAAATAATATTTTTATGCTAATAAAGCAACTTATTGAAGGCCCTAACAGCAGTGGGAGAGGTGTCAAGCTTCCCTACCCAGGTTCCTCATTACCATGTTATGGCTGACTGTAGCCACTGTTTCAGGAATTAGGCCCACATAAACATCTATTTTGATCAACAATTTAACGTTCAAACTTTCGTCATTTAAAGGTTTGTAAAAATACATTCTTGATTATATGTCAAACCCAACATCTAATTTCATAAAATATATTCTCTCAAAGGCAATTATTGCTCTTTGATACAAATATTTGATGCTTAAGCTGCAAATTTCCTAAATGTGTGAATTCAGAAGCTTACTTTCATGTGTTAAATATTGTCATATCACGGCCTTAAAACAGATCAACGGAAAGTATTTCTGTAGCGGTCATACCTCCTCCAGCTTGTGGGTCATCATTGTGAAAGCACGGAAAATAGCCTCGGTGGGACCAGTGACCGTGACAATACGCTCAGGACAGTTCCCATCCGAGATGTTAATACGAGACCCGCTCTGCAAGTATAAACACACCGCAAATCAGCCCCCACCCTACAGGATCGCACACTTCTGCTGCATCGATACACACTTTGTGTTGGTATGAACAAAGAAACATTACCTCATCACGGATTCTCTTCACAAAATCCCCTTTCTGTGAAGTGAATGAACGAGAGTTCACATAATCAGGTACATGTGCAGGTTATAGTGAATAACTAATTTAATCTGTAACAATATTAAACATTAATTCTATTGGTGAGGACCAGAAACACAATTGCTGTTATCCATGAATGTCCAAAGAGATGCAAATATGACCGCCACACAACAAGACAGCTGCTCAAGGCAACTTGGGAGGATACCCTTGGGATACTAAATTAATCCTAAGCCTTGGTGCTTCTTTGACTTGGTACATGCCTTGTACTCACATCACCTGCTATATGCAACATATCTAAACTTTGTAATTGTAACTGTATGCAGTACAATTAAGAGAGCTGTACATGTTATGTTCTAACATTTATCCAAGCTAGATAATGCTGAACTGAAGATATGTGAAAACATCTTAAAAGCAATGTGAAACCCACCTTGCCTATGATGCTTCCCACTTCCTGTAAATAAAAGAAAAATATATAAATCAGTACAGAGGCATATAAAAGTAGTGTTGTTACTGTAGACAACACTGACACAAATTACAACTAATAATCTAGTGAGTGGGCATGTATGTATGCTGAACTTCTTTCACACTGTATGCAGCGAACCGTGCTAATCGTAGGTTCAGGACAAATGCACAACTGTATGTATTCATTAAATAAAGACTGTATTTTACACAATAAATGAGCAAAGAATATCCTTAAAATGTTCCTCCACATGAAAAAAATTACACTTCCATTCAACTACAAAGCCTTATTCGAGTGCATAATTTCAGAAGCATCGCTTCAATATTTTAAAGAGAGGGTCCTTGCCTCTAACATCGGGAAGTTCATCAGCACTTGTTCAAGCAAGCCTGACTGCTGATGAGGCAATGTGTGACAAGACCAGTCCAGAGTTTCTTGCATTGACCCAATGCTGCTGAAATGATGCACTCCCAGAAAGCCTTGTAGTTGACAGGAAGTGTACAAAAATATTGTATGCCTTTATATGGATGGACAGGTGTGTGGAGGGAGAGTCCTGTGAACAACGTCCCACGGCCTTGCGGGCCGCCTGCTAGAAACAAATTAAATTGGATGCCAAGTCAATGTTGTGAGGTGATGCCTGGTGCTTTCTTTACCTTGCTGTGCATGAGAAGACGAATTGTAAGCGTCACATTAAGTCCACCCTCGGCTTGGCCACCGAGATGACTCATCTTGTTTTACCACACTCTGCAGGGTTACACCTGGTGGTACAAGCACAGTAAATATTATTTGGGTCTTTCGGTAAAGTCACGTAGAAAGGTTCAACGAAAACAAAAAAAACTACGTTTCGATCGCAACACGCAAGCGGTCGTCATCAGTCAAGATTTAAACAGTAAATTTCAGCTTGGAATTCACTGTTACCAGAAGGTTAAACATTTCAACTTGTCTTTGTGCCTGGAATTATTACAATGAATCATGCATAACTGCTATGTCATGTGATTCGGAAACATGGACATTACCTAAGACAATAGAAAGCGTACAAAGTGGATAAGTGTTCAAAGACGCATAGAGGTGTACACTTTGAATTTGAGATATAAAGAGGAACAAATGGATCAGTCAACAAACACAAAGAGATCGTGTTCATCTTTATCCAGCAGTGGATAGATCATAGCTGATTATGATTAATGACTTAGGCATATCCCAGTCTCACCCATATTCTATTACCAAGAAAGATGCGGGGAACCAGGCAGCGAAAGGGAGGCAAGCATGGGCTTGGGGGATCAGTGGGGCTCAAATGCCCTTTGTTAATCTTGTGGAGGAAATTATAGATGTGCTTATGTCAGAATCCAATATCAGAATTGGAGTGATGTAGGGCGACAGAGTGGGTTAGTGGTACACTTATGCCACACAATATTGTGCTGGGTTCGATTCCACTCAGATGCATATGTGTAGAGTTGGTATGTTCTCCCCCTGTTCTGCATGGGTTTCCTCCTATAGCTAAAAAAAGTACAATGCAACTGGTACTGCCCAAACATCCCAAATCTTAAACATGATCTGCAAGTTACTGAATTGGTATCAGACCTAGCAATATCGCCCCGCCACTGTTAAAACTTGACAGGACCCTCCTAAAAAAAGTATCTAAGTGGTCTAATTTACAAGTCTAGTTTTGGGTGCGGAATTTTAGGAGGCAGTAAAGAGTTGCACAAAGCAAGATGAGACGTAACAAAGGCATGAATTTGCAGCATACTCATCGCAGAAGGGTTGAGCCTTATCAGAGGTAATACAAATTTGGAGATGTGATGTAGAAGTCTTACAAATTAATATAAATGTGTTGGTCTTCTTCTCTGAATTTATACACAGTACTGTAGTTACACAGCACTGTACACAGTACTTTCTAACAAAGCAGTCTTTATCGTTCGTCCTGCACTTACAGCACCGCTGCGACAAAGCACTTTGTAGTTACACAGCACTGTATTTATATATCACTGTAGTTACAGTACTGTTCTTGCAGCACTATAGTTATACATCACAGTACTTACACACTGTGCTTACGAAAAAACGCCGCAGCACTGCACAGTACTGTAGTTAAACGGCACTGTCCGGTTCACACAAATGAACACAATAGGCAACGTTTCTGCCAATGGCCATTCGTCATCGTCCCCGTACAGTAGCTATTGCAGCGCTGTGCAGGAGTCACACTACACCGGCCCCCAGCGCCGCGCCTATCGACCCCACATCGGCCACGTTTCTCCGGCCGTCCCGCGAGCACTCGTGAGCAGCAGCAGCAGCAGGATGCGGGGGAGGAGGAGGCCCGGGCCCTGAGGATCCGCCGCACAGGCCGCTATCGCCGCCGCCGCCGCCGCCCCGCGGATAGATGGGGTGGGGGGCACGCGAGCCGGGTATCGGGGTGGGGGGCCAGAACGGTGAGCGGGGTCTGGCGGGGGGGGCTCACCTGGCGGGCGGGGGGGCGCGGGGGGGTTGAGGGAAAGGGGGGGGGCCACGAACCTCGCGCCGCGCTCCGCACGTTCGTAACGCACGGCCGTGACGTCAAAACACGGCTCCTCTGCATTGGCTCGTGGTTACCACGTGATACCGGCATTCGCCCACGATTGGACTGTGACCAGTGGCCGTATTTCGACAGCGGCACGAGCGGACCACGTGACGGCAGTGCGCGCGAGGGCGGGGTTGCGATCACGTGGGCTTCTCCCCGCAGAGCGCGCGTTTAGCGCCTCGGCCACGCCTCTCGCCACACCACGTGACCGACGAAGGGCTCCCTTTGTGTGACGTAACCGCCACGTGATGCGTAAATGTTTAGGAATGACCTCAATACTTGTCCGGCATAATGCAAATTTTACCTTTTGATTTAAAGCTTTCGTGACTGCAGTAATTCATATTCTTTGCTCTTTCGGTAAAGTCACGTTGAAGGGAAACAATAAAATAATAAAATATATAAAACAATAAAAATTCTCACGACGTTTCGATATCATCAGGTGTGTCGGATTGCATCAATTAATTAATTTTTAAACGGTGTATTTATTTATTTAAAAACACGTCAGCGCCACGCGCATCGATTTGGCAGTTTATTTAGAAGGACTAGTCCATCTATGTTCTGAAAAGAGGAGGGGGGAGACGAAAAATTAATGTATGCTGTCTGAAAGCCACCGTAAGCGTGAACATTCAATTAAGACCTGAAATGGTTTATCAAATCCTTCCAATGATTGCTAAGCCAGAATCCATCTTCTCGGTTGAAATTGTCTCTGTGCTTGTATATGTGGATAGCCTCATGAACGAATCTCTCATGGTAGCCAGATGGCTTACAGATGGAAAAGTCAATGTCATGTGAGCCTACTGAATTATAACAATGATCTGCCACGGCCGTTGTGTTGGTCCTACCGTGTTTAAGGTCTGCTAAAATAATAGACGCTTAAGGTGGCTTTCAGACCGCATCCATTATTTTTCGTCTCCCCCCTCCTCTTTTCCGAACATAGATGGACTCGTCCATCTGAACAAACTGTCAAATCTCTCTCCGTGGTGCTAACTTTAAAAATAACCGCCACTTTTTTCAAATTTTATTGTTGTGGTTTTCTCACCTGATGATGATTGCTTGTGTTGCAGTCGAAACGTCGTGATAATTTTATTGTTTTATATTTTTATGATTTTGTTGTTTCCCTTCTACGTGACTTTACCGAAAAAACCAAGAATACGTGGGGTTTATGTTTTTAAAAGTACCCGAATACCACGCAATAAGCCTCCGTCAACTTTAAAGTAGTTAAATGAACAATTTTGTGCTATTATTTATTATTTTATGCCGCTCAGCGCGTGCCAAAGCACGCATCTGCGCATGCGCGACAAAGCCGTGGTTGCACTTAGCAACGCACACGTGCGTGCGGTGGGGGGGATTCTCATTCGTGTTAAAAATGCAAAAAAATACACAAAACGCTGAGGTAAATTCTTCACAGTGTGATGTCCCCCCCCCCCATCCCAATGTGTGCAGTTGCTCCTATAGAGTTGCTACTATAGGCCGTAGATACTACTGTAGAGCGGGCAGGGGGATTGTGGGTGAGGGGGGGTAGCAGCCCAACCCCAGCCTGCAAAGGTGTCACCTCGGCCGTCTGGGCAATCTAGGCGAGGCCGGGGGCTCTGCACGGGACTAGGCCTCACCACTACACTCTTGTGAATTTAGTACTATTCTTTGGTTCTTTCGTTCTTAAAGCCACGTAGATAGAAAATAAAATATAAAATAAAGTTATTAAAAAGAAATCAAATAAATATAATAATAAAAACACTAATGTTCACTCTAGACTGGTTCCTAATTGGAGTTAGTGTACTGGCAAGCTATAATGTAGACTATAGCTTGGTTATTAACCTTGGTGAGTGTACTGGCAGTCTATAATGTCGACTGTAGCCTGGTTCTTAACCTCAGTGAGTGTACTGGCAGTCGAAAATGTAGACTGTAGCCTGGTTATTAAGCTTGGTGAGCGTATTGGCAGTCTATAATGTAGACTTATTCTTGGTTCTTAATAACTTACCACAATCTACATTATAGACTGCCAGTACATTCATTCCGTGTTTTTGTTTATTATTAATTTTATTTTTAATCACTTTCTTTTTATTTTCATTTTACTATCTATGTGACTTTACCCAAATAATCAGAATATTATTGTAGAGTTAGTATAGCTACTACTACAGCCAGTACACACTGCTATAGAGTTAGTATAGCTACTATTACAGCCAGTAGACACTGCTATAGAGTTAGTATAGCTACTACTACAGCCAGTACACACTGCTATAGAGTTAGTATAGCTACTAGTACAGCCAGTACACACTACTGTAGTGATAGTAGATACTAGTAGTGATAGTGGATACTATCACTACTAGTCAGTACATACTACTGTAGTAATAGTAGGTACTACAACAGCCAGTACATACTACTGTAGTGATAGTAGATACTGCTATCCAGTCGGTAGCTACTACTATAGAGTTACTAGATATTACTATAGTCAGTATATACTACTGTAGAGTTAGTAGCTACTGCTATACAGTAATATATACTATTGTTGAGGCGTTAATGACGACTCGGAGGCAGATCTTCATGTAGGGGCTTGCGCCAGTTGTTTTAAGGACTTTTCGTCATACACGACTCCGTGTACTGCACGCTCACTCCCTACACTCCACACCCCAGGGGAAGGGTACTGTGGAAGTCCCTAGCACACCCCCAGGCTACTCTAGCCTGGTGCTAATTTCCCCCTACCTTGGGTCCCATCGCTCCCCCAGGGGAGGGGTACTGGGGAAGTCCCTAGCACACCCACAGGCTACTCTAGCCTGGTGCTAATTTCCCCCTACCCTGGTCTCACTCCCAGGGGAAGGGTACTGGGGATTCCCTAGCACACCCCCAGGCTCCCCGAGCCTGGTGCTAATTCCCCCTACCCTGGGTCCCAACTCCCAACTTCATACGTTCCTGGCTCCCCGCAACGACCTCGAACACGTCACGGGTGCCAACCTAAATATCCCAGGGGGACGTCACCGTCCCGCCCCCTGTCCATGAGGTCACCATACGTGATGTCATCGTACCGGAGGACGAGCGTGACATGACGTCACTAACTACTACTCTACATCACCCCCCCCCCCCCCGTGAAAAAAATCAGCCAACCCGGCTGCAACCATTACGAAAATGGAGCCCCGGCAACCCGGATAGATAGACATTGACGTCACAATAATGGAAACCAAGTGATGTCACTCTTCCTTTCGAACTGAAACGACGACAAATTCCGAGAATTCCTGGGTATGCGATGACGATCAACAAGTCGCAGGGTCAGACTTTTGAAAATTTGGGTATTTATCTCAATTAACCCGTATTTTCCCATAGCCAGTTGTACGTGGCTCTGTTTAGATCTAAATATCCTCAGCGGATCAAAGTGTTCATCAAGGATAGCCAACTGCAGGGAAACCTTTTGAACAGTGATAATAGATTCACACAAAATATCGTATACCGAGAAATCTTCCAAAGTCCTTAATTTCATTGAATAAGTTAAGAAAAAAATATTTATGCGCTACATTTCCTAATAAAATTAACAATCACACAATAAAACGTTAATTAACATCTTTAATATTACAGCTTCCGTCCTAGGATGGGCTAACAAGCTAGTAATTGAATAATAGCTACATCAACACTTGTTAATTAACTTCACACGAGATTAAATAACACTTTCATTAGCACGTAACAACTGAATAAAGATTACCAAAATACATTACAATTTCACATTTGCAATCGCAAACTATAAATTACCATATTCTTGGTTCTTTCGGTAAAGTCACGTAGAAGGGAAACAATAAAATAATACAAATATAAAACAATACAATTCTCACGATGTTTCGACTGCAACACAAGCAATCATCATCAGGTGTGAAAACCACAGCAAAATAATTTTGTTTTATATTTTTATTATTTTATTGTTTCCCTTCTACGTGACTTTACCGAAAGAACCAAGAATATGAATCCCTGCAGTCACGAAAGCTTCAAATCAAAATTTAATGCATATATTATCAGAGCATGTTTGTTTGTTAAGATGTTTGAACACCTGTTTTATTGCCAGAAACGGTAAAACCTATTCTTATTTTTCATGTATTGTCAGACCTATGGTACTGCATACGTCCACCAGATGGCACCACGCTAGCATGTATTCTAGTACTAGTGGTACTGCATGTATCCACCAGAGGGCACCACTTAACCTATCCCAGGAGTCAGCAACCAAATCACAATAAGTAATATTTAAAACAACTTTTTTTTAAACACGCTTTTATGAAATGTACTAATAATGTCAGAACTCCACGACTCCAGGAAGTGGCCCCGAAGCTTGCCACAACGTAAGGGGACCGTGGCCAATTACAGCCAACGTCAGTTGAGCGTGGACAATTAGACCCAAGCCGAAACTTAACATATAAAAAATAATATTTAAAAATATATATTTCTTTTTTTTATGATAGAATATAGTATTGTCATCAGTATGACATAAGTATACCAAGTTTGCAGTCGATACCACATTGGAAAGTGGGTTAAAATTGAGTTACAAGATTTGAGGATACAACAACAGAGTGAGTTAAATGAAAGCGTGTATTGTAGAAAAAAGTTTAGTTGGAGGCATATCAATATAATGCATAATGTTAGAGCTTACATTGGGCTGTGTATACGATATTATACAATGTAGTTTAGATTGGAAGGTATAACATTGTAATGTATAGTAGTCTAGTTTATAGCATAGTTGTAACGCAACACAGGACAGAGCAGCGCATCGTGGCTGTTTCTCTCTCTCCCCCTCCTCCGTTCCGAGCATAGATGGACTCGTCCGTCTGAACAAAGCTCGTCGCTTTCTGTGGTGCTAACTTTGAGGAAAAAAGAAACCGCCACTTTTTTCGACATAGAATTGTAATGTATAACGACTTATTGTTAGTAGCTCAGCTGATTGGAGAGTATATTGAGTTTATTGATAACATTAATGTAGTTTATACTTTATTTTTTATCGGTTTACTATATGGTATTCATTATATAGTGTAGTGTATACCCAGTTACTTTATGTTAATAGCTCAACTTATTGAAGAATATATTGAGTACATTTATTATATTGATGTAGTTTATACTTAGTTCTTTCACATCGGCTTATTGTATGATAGTTGGGTAGTTGCACTTCTTTAGCGTCAATATACTAAATGCCTCTGTTGATATGTAAACTCTGACTTTAACATAGCTACTTCCATGACCAGTTACATGCTAATCCCTCACACTAACATCATGCTAATCTCCCAGTTACATGCTAATTTCTTACTTTAACATCCTGCTAATCTATCACATTAACACAGCTACTTCAATGCTAAATTCTTCTGTTGATATGTAAACTCCTTTGTCAAGGCACTCTGCTCCGCCCACCCAGCTTAAAATACGCTGCCAAGCTTAGAAGTGTTCATGGGAGTGCTGTCTTTCCAACAGTTGTTTCTTCACCTGAGGAAGGCTACTTGTGTTGTGGCCGAAACGTCGTGAGAATTTTATTTTATTACGTTTTCTTTTTATTTTATTTCCATTCTACGTAACTTTACCGAACGAACCAAGAAGACACATCAAAACTGACAAGTAGGTCGTCTGGGGACAGAGAAATACCCTTGATTGTCGATACCAGGTGAGTAGAGTTTAGTACAGCAGAGGTGGTTTTTCCAGTTAAAGGCCGCAGGATTTCAGACAAATAACGAGCCAGTTTGTAGGTGGGGGAGTTGATAGTAGAGACAATGGGACGAAGGGGTGTATCTTCTTTATGTATCCATGTAATTTGTATGAATATACGTGTTAAATAAATGTATTAGTTAATTAAAATGGTATGCATTATCTATTTAATTGCAAAAAGCCAAATATCCTTATTCCGGCTTGAAGACATCACTGCAGATTGTGAAGTTATAATCATTTGAGACACTCGTGGCAGGTTTGAAGTAACTGCAATTGAATGACTTTTAAACAATCTTATTTATATGTATGTACATCATAGTAAACAGACGATACACATGTGTAAAACATTGTGATTATCGCCATATCGTGAAATTTTATGTCGTCGCAATTTCAGATCAAACCTTTCTCGTTCAAAACTTTTATTGGTGTGTAGAATGATTTGAAGAGACTGTAAAAAGAGGTCACTTTTGGGGCTGGAGTGAGTGGCGCGATGCCGGCGGGCAGTCAGTGAATCACGTGGTGATGATTGCGTTGCGTGAAAGGGGACACCACACCCAGTGTCGGGGCAGCATCACGGGATGAGCGAGCTGTGTGCACAGAGCAACGCTTCACTTTGGCTTTCTTTAGAAGTCGGTTGGCGTGGTAATCTCGGACTAATTTATTCCAGGTTCGATAACGGCAGTACCACTCTGTGGGACGTCAATCGCGTCCGTTCTCTGGACATAGTGGCACCTTCAAATCTAGATTGTACCCCCTTGTCAGACCACGTCCTGTGGAAGGTGGCATCATACAACTCCAACACTGTACTCCGATAACCTCGCTACTCACACTCGAGGCGCGCGCTGCGCTTTACCCATGGCTCTGTGTTTTGTTTTGAGGTCTTGCGGTTTTACTTCAGTGGTGTCGGCGTGATCGGTGCGGTGGGGGTGGGTGGCACGGCACTGCTCACGGTTCTAATAAACGGCAATTGTTGAACATTCTGCCTTGGTCCACGACATTTGATAACCATTGCTATCTCAAACTTTAGTAACAACAGACAATAACGCCGCCTCCCCACAATTTACTCTCCACATACGTAAAAAAACTCAATAATTGATTACACGCCTCAGCCACACAGCCTTCTGGGGAGTGCACAATCTTAAACAACATTGGTTCAACACAAACATCGGACAATGTCTCATTAGCAAACTATTGTATAGCGAGTCAGTGGCCGCAAGGCTAAGCCCGTCGCTCAGGGGTGCCCTCTCGCCAGTGAGAGTCACACAGTGACCACAGACAACGCAGCGCGTCCACTCAACCAGACCGCACATCCACACCCTGCACGGGAAACATCGAGTCGGCCGTAAAAAAAAACACAACAGAAACGAAAAAAAGACTGAAAACTTTATTGTACGGGTTGTGAAACAACAAGGTTGCCAGCTGTCCCTCGCGTGGGGGTTGTTGGCCGGAGAGGCGCCCTGATCCCATCCCCTCCTCCCCCACCCCCTGCGGGGCGCCTCCTCCTCCTCCTCCCGCTCCGGCGGCGGCGGCGCCGTGGCAGAGAGCCGGAGCCATGGCTGCGTCGAGCGAGCTGCGCCTGAGGCTGCGAGTGGCGTTCAGCGTCGTGGGGGCCCTCGTGGGCGCCTCCGTGTTCGCCGTGTGGAGTCTGCACTACGGGCAGCCCTACACGGGCGCCTGCGGAGGCCTCTCGGGTGGGTGCCTGCTCCTGCACAACCATCGCATCACACCGCACACCCCGCACGACGTCCTCACGTTTCACACTCCCAAACAAAACACGTACACGTCTTATTCTACTCTCAAGCACAACACACGCCCGCATACATACGTTCAATCTTTTGTCACACACTTTTCCAAAAAACACTCTTACATCGATACAAAGGCAAATGCCGCTCCAATAGCCGTAACCTACTTTTTTGGGGCAAGTTCTGTCCACGAGCTGCTATGAAGGCCGAAACGGCATACGAGGGGGTGGGTGGCATCTGTCTCCCTAGGAGCGATGTTTACAAATAGCACAATGTAATCATTTGAAGCGGAGTCGACCTAGGGGAAGCCCAGGACCGGTCCAGATAAAGGTAAACTCGGGTCGCCACTCAATCTCATACAAACATTCCCTGACTCCTGACAGTCCGGCAGGCCTCCCAGCAGCAACGATCCCGCCGTGACGTGGTGCAACTTGCGCGGCATTGTGCTGATGTGCAGCTCTCCTTTTATGTCCAGGGTTATATGGCACAATGTCCAGGGTTATATGGCACAATGTCCAACGTTTGGCTCCATGTGCAGGGCGCATCTTCTGAAACTCAAGTAATATTCCATGGGTTTTGGGGGCATCTTCAGGAACTGGAACATTTCGCTGTCATATCGCCCCCATTTGACGTATCCGTGTGGAATTTCCACGAAATCCTTAGTTACGTTCTTCAAAATAGCAGCAATCGACAAAACCGCGATCCGTAAACTCAAAGGAAAATCGAAAACTAGGATTTGGTTCACGGTTCGTAATACGAACCCCCTCCTTTTGTTTTTGTGTTACCCTACATTAACCCAAATATGAAACAAGTTTTTTTACTTCAAATATGATTAATATTTTCTAGAGTGATGAATATAACTTGTACAGTCAATGTATAGAATTTAAAAAGTGTACATAGTGTACATCCCATTAGCATAAGTGTGTAAAGTATACACTTATGGACACAACATAAATCGTGGGCGGCTGTATGTATGTCTGTTGCACTTCTTTCGTACCGTACGGTGCAGACCTCACTGCCTCCCCACTTGAAGCTGGGAACACCGCGTGACCTGGGACCCGTGATGGGCACCACGAGAGACGAGATGGGTGGCGAGGTGTTAACTGCCTCGCCGGGTATACAAGGAGGTCGCGGGTTCGATCCCAACCTTGATGCCTTTATATTGGGAATTTGCATGTTCTCCCAGCAGTCGCATTGATTTTACTTCGGGTCCTCGAGGTTTTCCCTCCACATTTAAAAACATACGTTTAGATTATTTGGCTGCTATAAATTTCCACGTGATAAGCCACTTCGTTGAGCTATTTTTTGTGGTCAGGTCGCTTCTGAAAAGAGCAATAAAGCTCAGTGGGCCTTACATACGATGGTTGGCTACGTACGGTGCGAAAGAAGTTCAACATATTACCTTGCAAAATAAAATAAAAATGTTGAGTGTGTTCTTCTGTGGCAGCATCAACGCAAGCAGTACAGTTACGATGCATACTGGAATCTCGCGGTCAATTGCGAATGGTCGAGCCAAAGGGGTGCGATCGGCGAACTGCACCTCAATACATTTGGCTCGAACGGTTAAATCTGCGATGGGCAAGGTTTTGGTGTATTCAGTTTTATTATTTTTTGGAAGATTTAGCTCAGTGCTTGCCCACCTGTTTAACAGTGTAGCTGACCTCAAGAGCAGGCACCACGGCCTTTAGGTGTGATTCTCGCGAAGGTAAAGTTAGCATGAGCTGCTGCTGGCTGCAGGGCTGTGTGGATCAAGGCATCGCTGATAGGCAAGCGTGGCTTCTGAGCACCTGCATGCTATGTGGCGGAGTGACTGCTGGGCAATGTCAAGATTTGCTTATTTTCTCACCAGTCGCAATTGCTTCATAAGTGAGGGAGACACTATGTAGTGAGTATCTAGAATACACCCATTCAAAATGCTCACTAAAGACTGTTCTGGATAATGATACAGTAATTATTTTTTAAATCTTTACTCTTATCAGAATTTTGATACAAATTCTGTTGATTACACTTCATTTACTAAATGCAGGTTGTAAGTACTTTAATGTGGTGTCCCACTGCATATGAACAAACGTATGAAAAGGTATTATTGAGATTTCAGTTAGTCATACAATTATTCAAATCGAGCATAGCATCCTTCATCTGATGTGGCGGGCCGTGATTCTGGTTTTGCATCTGTGGTAAAGGCCTTGGTTTCATTTCTCGCGAGGTGCGTGCAATAGCAAACGTCTCATTTCCTCGAGCCCTGGACCTGAGCTTTGCCAGCGCGGGAGCGCCCAGGGCCCTGAAGCCCCACGCCACCCATGCCAATAGGGCATGGAAGACTTGGCCTATCCAACTCAGTCTATCCCATCTCCTCGAGGTGTCCCTTAGTCTAGTTAAAAGCGAGTAACATTTAGCAAAGGGGCACGATGAATGGAAAGGGCCTTGAGGATCATTTGAGGGCTTCTGGCTCTTGCTATGCAGGTCCGGCACGGTGCCAGCCTGGTTCGTAGTGCTGGCAACCGCGGAGATACAAGGGAAGCAGCGATTTACCCAGTTGCATGCAACGGCAGATCAGGGTTTGTGTTTTGTGATGGGATGCGCGGGGCAATTGCCTGGAGGAGCGAGCAATTGAAACGTGTGACGAGGTTACGCAACCCGCACTTATGCACGTATCAAACAGGTTTGCATCACTTGTATAATTATCAAGACCCATGTTTATGTTTTATGTGAGCGCATTGTCACGAGTGATCACAGCCAACTCCATTTATACTCTACGACTGCACGTGGCACGAAGGTTCCACCGGGAAGGCCGCGTTGCTGAATGCATGCGCATCCCTTGTGTCAGCCCACTACTGGATGAGGGCCTCCACACACCTGTGTGGGTCTCGAGGGTTATTTGACATTATTTATCACGTTGAGTCATTGCGGATTGGTGAAGGCGAGGAGCATAGACATGGAAACAAATAAGTTTCATACAACAATGGCTGTTTATGCTATAAAGCTCCACAAATCCTGTTTGTGCTTGGTGGTTACCCATCCAAGCACCATTCAGGCTCAGGCCGGCTGAGCTGAGAGCTGACGAGATTCCGGGTGATGTGCACACAAACGTTGCGGCACCACGTGGAGATGGTGCCAGCTGATACACCGACTGCAGATGCACGTGTGCATTGTACTCATGTTTAACTGGAGTGATTAGCGCAGCGCTACGAACCCGGCGATTCCCGCTCACGGCCAACACCAGTGACGATTATTTGAACTGGTCCAAGGCCTCCCCTAGGTCTACTCAGCCTCAAATAAGTAGTTGGTGTCTAAACATCACCACTGGAGAGACAAGGGCGGGAGGATGACTCGCTGAGTGAGAGAGGGTGACTGGCTGAGGGAAGAGGGTGGCTTTCTGAGAGAAACGGTGGCTTGCTGAGTCAGCGAGAGACACGGGTCAGCTGCTTGCAGCGTCAGACATTGAGCTCACTTTAATCAACAAGACACCCCTTGCCGAGTGCTGTCTCATCGTCATGAGGTTTGTCATTTGCTGAATAAACAGCTTATCTTTTTAATCTCCAAAATGTTTTACAGATTGCCATGTTTTCCGATTCATTGTTTCAGAATTGATTGTAATCCGAAGATAACATTTTCTCAGTGAGCAATGTATGGACACATAAAGCCATAGTCACGTTTGTATCCCAATAGAATTGCACATTAAAACAAAGAGGGAATAGCTTTAAAAAGGCTCTCAAATGTCGCTGGGAACAAAAAATACCACATCGGTTTATCTTCAACTTTTAATGTCATAATTAAAATCTTGTCTCTTATTTGGAAGGCAATTTCAAAAGCTGTAAAATTACTTTTCACTGCACACAGAAACGCACAAATACACACGTAGAAACATGTGCATACACCCATGTATCACTTCACGTTTCAAGTGTATTTTATTAAACCAGTGGTGAGAACTCCACAAAGACCAGGATGGGCTCATTTGCAAGGGTAACCTGGGTCACCAAAATAACAACAGCAGGAACATTAAACTAAGGACTGTACAGCAATAAAGCAAATCTAAATCATAGCAAATTCCAAAATAAATAAGATTGTTTAAATAGCAAGTACGTGTCATGACTACCCATGACAGATGTTGTCCACTTTCGCTTGTAATCTGTATTTTATTCATATATTAAGTCCTTCACCTGAAAAATCCCTTGAGATTGAAATCCCATGGGTGTCCAGGCATGTGCAATGCGCCATGTTTGGTTGTGCTCACGTGACGTGTGTTGTCTTTTGTGATAGGTGTGCTGGCCATTTGGACGCTGGTGACCCATGTGATGTATATCAAGGATTACTGGCGGACCTGGATACAGGGCCTGAGGTTCTTCTTTACTGTGGGCGTGAGCTTCCAAGTGATTGCCCTGGTGGGCTTCATCACCTTCTTGGCACTGGCCATCTCCGCACATCAGGGTGAGCCATTAGCCATTACTTCACTCTCCTTCGCTGATGCCTTCGGGACACATTGCATATATTTGCACAATAATTAACGACGTGTCAACGTTGAATAAATAGGTCTGATGATTTTGTTACAATAACTGGTCCCGCTTCTTGAATGATGGCTACAGTTTAATCTAGTCCATCCTGTGAAGAGCACCAAGTTGACTTCTTCAAGTGTGACATCTGTAATTTACGCATCTGATAAACAATTAGATGTCTAGTATATGTTTACTTCAGAGCTCTATGTACATTTTGTCCACTAATTTTAAGATTCTATCTAGATTGTGAGTTACAGTTCTATTTTTCTACCTCAGGACTATCAGTTGTGAATTTCCAAACGCATGCTTCCTCTTTGGGATCTTCAGTCATGTTTTATTGTCTGCCTCTTTCTATATCAGTCTGTCTTCTTAATCTGCACGTTCATACAACTGCGTGTGCAATGCTGCAGGAATGAAAATGCTGTCTGTGTGAGATTGACAAGGAAGCTGTGTCGTGTTGGGTACCTGTGCGTGAAATTACAGCTCTGATGTTGAATTTGTTTGTTTGTTTCAGCCCTGACAGACCCCACAAGCCTATACATTACTTGTATTTGGTGCCTAATGACTTTGAAGTGGGCATTCGTTCTCTCATACTATACTCACCACTACCACAAGGAATTTGCTGATAATACCCTCGATGATTTGTAAGGCCCTGCTACACGCGCAACATTTTCAAGGGCACCAGCATCGAGAGTGGTAAATGGTGGCGAATACAGATGCATTTTTCCAACATGCTGTTTTCTGCTAGCACAGTTTTTTAGACTTTAAACTGCATATCTACATTTTACCAGACATATATGTGCGAGGAAGGAGGGCTCTTGCCTGGAACGTCACCTATTATATATGTGTTTTTGTTCTTGAGGCCACATAGAGGCTATTGACAAAAAGTATTTTTTGTTTATTTGTGTTTGTGCACCACTACAACGCAGTTCACCAAATACTTTGTTCAACTGATTGAGATCAGATTTAGATTTTTGCTTCATATCCAGTGATGCAATACTGTGCTATATAACTTACATAGTAACAAATAAAGTAAAAACTGTAATTCATTGTAAAATATATTAATTTACTTCTCTTGATAATATACTGTACTTATCTGCTGACAATCTATTGTCTCTATGTGTAAATATAAAGCAAACAATGCATTTAGTGATGCTGCGTTCAGTGGTGACACGGCCAAGAGCCCAACATATTCATTTATAATACGCCTGCCTTTAAAGTAAACATTGTATAATAAGTGACCTTTCGGACCATTACCTTCGTCTGAAATGTGTAATTGAGGAATGTGTTTAAATGTTTTTTCTTCTTTGGTTCTTTCGGTAAAGTCACGTAACTTTACCGAAAGAACCAAAGAAGATGAATCCTTGCAGTCACGAAAGCTTTAAATCGAAATGTTTAAATGTTGTAATTAAAAGCAGCCTCTGACCTATGGTTGCCTTTTCCCAAAATCTGATTCTAAAATGTAATGGTTTTTATTGGAATATTTTGAGTACATATATGTTAAGATTGAACATTTGGAATTCACCTCCGCGTAACCTCGTTTTTTGTTTGTAAACCCTGCAATTTCTCACCTCTGCAACCCCGTGATACAGAGAATACAATTGCGCCCTTTGCCTCGTGCTCCGAGCACTGCTTGTAAACGTTTAGCTGTTGCCATATGGCCTTGAGCCGGATTGCTCATGAGTAAACCCCACTTTATGCAGCCCAAGATGAGCACATGATTCGCTGTTACCCTCCCTCACGTGTTGAAACACCCTGCATATGGGGAAGGGAGAGAGTAACTTTGGTCTTAACACGAACAATGTCATACTTTCCCTGGAACACTCAGTGGAGGGGATACACACTTACATGCATCTTGGGGAAATTATGTGGGTAATGTGAATGTCACTTAATTAATAATACGATGAATAGGAGTATCAACAATATATAAATGATAATAATAACAATGATAGTCATATAAACAATACTACAGGAATCCCTTGTTATACCTAATGGACATGTTCCTGGTAAATCCTACTTAATTAAAATTACTTAAAGCGAACTCTTATTTCCTATAGCCATTATATTAAAATTGGGGGTTGCGTTCCTTGCTGACATTTCTGGAAAAAAATGCGTGGCTAAATGTTATGAAGTGTACAAAAATGCATATGCTCATACGTTAATATACATTGCAACTCATAATAAATACGAATAATTAGATACAACTTACCAGAGATTAATTTTGATTGGTTTAAGAGCTTACAGATTTAGGAGTCGTGGGATGAGCAGCGGTGGTGTTATTTAGACGAAGGGCAGGATCATCTGCCTCTTCATCTGACGATGAAGCTGGAGCCAGAGGAATGTTCACGAGAGGAATCTGGCTCTCTTCTGGGCTCTTGTCCAGATCTGGCTTGATTGCAGCACGTTTAAAAAAAATTGTCCAAAAACAGCTGGACAGCATTTTTCTTCTTCTGCTGTACACTCTCCTACCTACCCCTCTCAACTCTCCCACCTCACACTCCCTTACTTCTCCTCTGTCATCTACCCAACTGCACTCCACGCACTCGCCTACCCTTCCTCAACTTACTATACTCCACACACTCGCCTAACTCTCCCCTTTTATCTTACTCTAATCCCTCCACTCACTTTCTGCTCCAGCAACCAAGGCCAACTGTTGAGCCCCAGTCAACCTTCGCTCAGTGGGAGGTCACTCTTTCTCTTCTGCTGCCCCCACAGTCCTGAACTCCCACCGGCCATCCACGTTGTAAGCGCCGTGCCCCTGTTCAAGTGCAGTCTCTATAATGTATTTTCCCATTTGACTGTCATTATCTATGCAATAAATATTTACGATTTATGTATATTTTGAAATGCAGTCACCTTTACATACTATATAAATCCAAATTGTGTTTTATTTCACAAGTGTTGTAAATGTGAGTGTGAGGAACAGTAGTGTCATGATAAGTGCAATACTCTAAAATAAAGTATTGCTATCCTGGGTTACATTTATACCTTGAACATAGGTGGCACATATGTCAGCCATACCAGGGACAGAGAAGCAGTTGAGTACCTAGTTATTTTTACCCACTGTTTTCAATATTTTCGGCACTTACATGTTTGCACGTTGTTATTGGTTTTGTGTTTTTTTCATTCCAGCAATAAGGATTTGGGTTCAAAATGTGTTTTTAATTCAATAGCTCAGCTGAAATTTGGATTTGATTCGATTTGGTTCTGATGGATTCATCCCATTTCTTCGAATAAAAAAACAAATATCGCATAGCTAAGTAATTTTTGATTTAAAGCTTTCGTGACTGCAGTTATTAATATTCTTGGTTCTTTCGGTAAAGTCACGTTGAAGGGAAACAATAAAATAATAAAATATATAAAACAATAAAATTATCACGACGTTTCGACTGCAACACAAGCAGTCATCATCAGGTGTGTTCTTGCCATTGGTTTTCACACCTGATGATGACTGCTTGTGTTGCAGTCGAAACGTCGTGAGAATTTTATTGTTCTATATATTTTATTATTTTATTGTTTCCCTTCAACGTGACTTTACCGAAAGAACCAAGAATATATAAGTAATTTTTGTTACATTTTCAGTGGATGTTTTAGAGTGAGTGCTTGTAAATGTCCAAAGTTTTAACACCGATGGAAAGTGATTCCAATATGTGATTATGATAGTTAAAATGATGTGCATGTATAAAAAAATCGACAATACAGAGTCCGAGTCATCAACCAAAAATAAAGTTGATTTACAATCTATACACAAGTCTTGGATTTCAGTTTAAACCCGCGGTCTTAATGTAAGAGCAATGTACGCTACACTACTTCACACTTGGCTCTACAGCAGCATCACCACAATCGTTCCGCCTCCCTAGGGCTCAATCTGAGCTTGCTTATATGTCTTATTTGCCCACCAGAGCCTACATTGCTTAAATGTATATATTCATTTGGCCCTTGTTAAAATTTACCATGAAATTGCAACATTACATTTGAATTTCCACCAAGGAAACTCTGTGGTTCTGCCCCTGGCTTCTGATTCGACAGTGATCCTGCAAAATTGCAGTCATATCTTGCTCTGGCACTTTACGTAATGGTGTCATAATATACACGAAACAATGATGCCCTCATCAGTGTTATAGATGCCATTGCATATACATCCACAATCTACATATACATCAAGTGATGCTCTGATGTACGTTGTCTCAAGCAAATTTCAGAAAAATCAAGATTACCACACAGCGAACACAGCAAGGGGAGCTATCTCCACTGTCGTGCTCCAGAATAGAATTGCCACCTGTCCGCCAATTTCTGGATTGAATCTGACTTGGGGCCAAGCAGGGCCGGGAGCGGGACTTATGCAGCGTTTATTGCACGTGATGTGTCGGGTCGCCACCTGTCCGGGATTGACACGGACAGTCCAGGAACTGGTAACTGTGCTTGAGTGGTATAAATAGATTTGTACCGAGATCTGGTATTGTGTTAATGTTATCACAGTATACTGCACAGCGTCGATAGCCCTGAGCTTACTGAAAATGTCTGAGTTTGGTCTGTGGAAAAAGTGACAACCCGAGCCTGGTTGGTGCTTGAGTGGCCACATTTGCCCATCGTAACCACTCAAACTCTTTACGTAGCTGTCCTTGAGCTCCAACAAGAGAACGAAAGCCACCCGTGGCTATGGGTTTTATATTTATAGAGGGAGGGGGGAGATGGAGGAGGAGCGGGGTGGAGGGGGGATGTCCTCCCGGCCCCGTGCGGAACGGAAGTGGCGCGTGGAGGAGGAGTCACGTGATGCGGTGCGCGAGGTCACGAGGCCGTGCCGGGTTCTCACTGTACGTACTGTACGCGGACTGGCTGTGAGAGAGGAGGGAGACTCCCAGGTGAGCGAGTCTCGTATTGGTGATGTCGATGTAGAGCAACAACTGTCATTTTACATTGAGGTAGTAGAGCCAGATCATTGTGTGAGTAGTAGCGGAGTGGTGTATCGTTGTGACAATGCCTCCTTTGTACAGTAGTTTCATGGTCTGTTTTGGGTGACCTCAGTCGCACAGAAAGTGGAAAGATACAGATACTCTTCCAGGTGAGTAAGTGGGGAGTGGGGAAGACTCCCGGGTGAGTGAGAGGGGGAGAGACTCCTGTAGGTCAATGATGAGGGGAGAGAGGGAAAGACGCTTCCAGGTAAGTGGTTAGTGAGGCCCTTTTCATCCCTTTTCCACATCCAAGCCAGCACGGGGTCCTCACGCTACGGTTCGTTTTCCACTGGCTATTAGTCGTGTTGAGCCGGACCCAAACTGCAATATGGGGGCCTCACAAGACGTCTGAGCCTGACTGGGTGCCATGCAGGGCCAGGGGCGAGGGTAGTGATGCGTTTTTTGCGCGTGACGTTAGTTGGGTTCCCACCTGCCCAGGTATGACCCGGACAGTCCTGGAACTGGCATCTGTGTTTGGGTGGCAAGAATTTATATGTACCGAGGTATGGTACTGTACCGAAATTGTGTTGAACGTTATGACAGTATTCTGATTGATTTTAACAGCCCTAGGCTGACTGAGAGATAAGTCTGTGGAAAAGGTGGCAACCCTCGACATCGGTACTCTCGAGGACACAGCGCCACAGCAATTTATGTATGCAGCACGGCTCGGCTTCTGCAGTAGACAAAACCCCAATCTGGTGCCTCCTGCCCCGCGCCGGGCAGCTCGGTTGTGCAGTGGAATATCCTTCCCAGGCGCTTGTTCAGCTGAAAGCTCACTTTTACTTGCTTTGCTCAACATATTCAACAGTCTCCCTGTAAACCATTAGCTACATATACTATTATTAATATAACGGGAAAGAATATCAAACAACTTGTCTAACTTTTCTAAACCATCAAAAGCCATTTGACTGAGTTTTAACGCTAAATAAGTAATAATACGCAGGATATTGTCAAATATTAATTAGTAGCTCTTTGCCAAACTCATTAAAATTGGCCAAACTTTCCAATGTAGCGCAACCCTCTTGAAAAAGTCTTGAGACTCAATGAGGCTTTTTCAGGTAAAATGCATGATTCTTATTGGATGATTGCCTCTGCATACCGTGTTGGTGGTGGCGGTTGTTTGGCCATACTTCACCATGCTGGTCAGTGTGGGTTAGTAAAAACCTTTTTTTAACCCCACCCCACTGGAAATTTGATAAACTATACCATGAATAAACATAACATTTGTATAAAACTTGTAACTGTAATTCTTGCCTCAGAATGAAGCAACTGTCTGTAGGGAGGAAGGTTGGGACAACCCTCTGGCTTCTATCGGCGCTTCCTCATCAAATGAGCAAGACGAAACTCAAGCCTCAATTTCCCAGGTCCTAATGGATTATTGACTATAAATACACAATTACAATGTACCATGGTGATTGCATTGAAAGGTTTGTGTCTAAGGTGATGTATCATGTATAGCTATGAAAGTAAATAATTGTGGATAGTTGTGCTATTTACATTACAATACAATGCTAAATAAACAATGCACGAGGTAAATAATTGATGTGGATGGATGCTGTAATGCTTTCTCATGTGTTTTGTCCTTAGAAGTATTAAATTAGCAATAATAACGACACGTTCCAAGCCGCAGAACAAGATGACGTGTGGCATTGTGAGATGACCTTGCCTTGGCTATATTTTTTCACCTGAGGACGATTGCTCGTGTAGCGATCGAAATGTCGTGATTTTTTGTTATTTTTCTATCTACGTGACTTTACCGAAAAACCCAAAGAGTATGAATTCCTGCAGTAACGAAAGCTTTAAGTCAAGATTTAAGGCTTATTGTTTTAGGGATAGTTTTTATCGCCAATGCTTGAGCAACCTCTTAATTAATTTGGACCCTTGTCCCAAAGTCCCAAATATCCATACATTTGTATCCTAAAATGTTCATATTCGATAATCTTTTAGAGAGTTATATGACCCAGTGTTACACACAGAGAGAT